GTGTTCAAATTCTACATTATTTTTAAAGCTTAAATACGCATGGAAACAATATTTTAAGTATAATTAAAACCGGTTAATATAAACAGATAAAAGGTTGCTAAAAGTCAGCTACTTTAACAAGCTGATAATTTGTCCATATTTTAATAACTTTATATGTTAATAACTTTTTAAATTACTTTAATAGTAATGCTTTCTGAAGTCCTATGTTTCGTTTATATAAAAAGTATAGGAAACAGAAAAAATAGTTGCAATACTGAATAGTGGAGTTCACTGTTAAATTAAAATTAATAACCAGTTTTAGTTAAATATATAAAACAGCCATATTATATTAGTGCATTAGCTTATGTATTAAAACATTTCTAATCCTCTTTCAAATCATAATTGAAAAAAATATAACTTCTCAACATAACATTGCATATCAAAGATATTGAAGACTATTAAAAATGCTAGTTAATTAAAGTTATTTGGTCTGTATCAGTGCAATTGGTTGGTTACAGTTGCTCTTTAAACTTAACTAATTTAAAATCTTCTATTAGAATGCGAAAAAGCAACTTTTCTAATTAAAAACAACCAATCTTCCTGTCGTTTGCATATGGTCTGTCACTTATTACAATAATTTTAAAATATTTGCGTTTAAACCTTCACCGCGCTGTGACGAGACCGACAATAAAAATAAATAAAACTGATAGATTTTTCTCGCTAAGCTGCTTCGTAGACTATCTGTAAATTTACAGTAAAATTCATGTTCAATACAATTCAATACGAAAGCATATCGTGCGTCATAAAATAAAAACAATATCACTTATATACCAAACTCACTTTTTCACAAACATGAAATTAGAGTGAAGTAACATATAACGGTTTAATTATAAATTACATTTATTATTTATTCAGAAATTGTTTTACATTAAATATAATTAATGTATAGAATAATTTTGATTGATTGTTACAAATAAAATAATAATGTAAAATAAAATTTTAAACACTACGTTTTTCAAAGGAGTAGAAATAAACCGATTTTGTCACAAAAAGTGAAATAATTTCGTTAATAATAATAATAAATGCCGTAAATAATGAGAAATCTTTTATAAATTCATGGAGAACTGTCACAGGTTTCTTAACATTCTAAGAGATAAAAAAAAAGGTGTTGGTTATTTTTATTTATTATTAATTTCGTTTATGTACTAAATTAAGCTTTTGTATGCTTTTGTATTCTCCGTAAAAATTGGTTAAGTTCGATAATTTTTTTACGTGAATATCAACTTGACACCCACAGTGAAAATATTTTTAGCAAAAATTTAAAAAGCATATTTGAAAATATAACATAACACCCAGAAAGTTTGAATAAAAAATTAGATTTTATTTTATCGAATTAAAAAGAAGGGGAAAAAAATGGCTTGTGGGTCAGGAAATTTTTTTAAAAATTAAATACCAGGAAGGTTGAAATTATTTTAATTTTGCTCTAAAATCGAAAAACATGTGATTAGCCTTGATTAGAACGTGATTAGCCTTGAAAAACTTTCAAAGAATTTGTTGAAAAGTTTTGATTTCCACCAGATTCTCTGAAAAAAGGGTTAAATTTGGCAGTATATAAATTTATTTATTTTTGTAAACTTACCTCAGTTTTATTTAAGAAAAATATTTTTTTAAAATTAATATTGATCTTCTTAATTACATTTAAGAAGCACCCAAAAATGCAAATACTTAGGGCCTCTGAGGTTCTTAATCCGGCCCTGCATCCATGAGGAAGATCCGAAGACATGCCATCACAATCGAGTAGTAGTGTGATACCATGCTTCAAGCATAATTAAATTTCATCGCTTTATCTCCACACGTTTTTTTTTTTCCATTAAACATGTGCCTTACTTTTTGATTAACCAATCAAACTATTCAACTATAAAAACCCAACTATCAAAATGTTAAATACTAAGTAAAAATTTAAAATTATGTGAATTTCTAAAAAAAAAAAAGTATTTTTATAACAGAATGAAAATAAGCTACCAGAAGTTGCTCATTTTTTAATTGAAAAAAAAAAAAAGACGAATTGATGATTAAATAACTCTTACCATTCCAAGAACTTCTGAAGAGCAGGGGCGGTCTTCGGGAGCGAAGCAAGTCTCGGTAACTTGTTGGCACGTGATATGTGACGTCAATACCACAGAATTTCATTATTATACTATTGTGTACTCTTCGGAAACGCTTTCATGCCGGAAACTGCTAAGGGATCTTGCTGCCTTCCGAATGTTTCTACCAACTATTATTCGTTCAACAGGCGTACTTGACTCCGAAACGCTATATCTGTTGATACTTTTGCGGTACTTTTAGTAGAATGATATGAATCATCCTGAGAGAGATTGCCAGCTGACGAATTTATGACAAAAACATTGATGCTAAATATTTAATAAATTTGATAGGGTCAAGCTCTTATTTTTAAAATGCTGGTATATTTTAAACTTGGCCGGGATAGAATGGCTGGCAGGACGCTGGACTCACGTTCGTGAAAACTGGAGTTCGAATCTAGCAGGCCGAAGACTCCCCGGGTAGTAAATGGTGACTGGTGCACGTTAAATCCATCGGGTTGTAAAGTCCTCAATGTTCCTATAACAAATTATACCTCTGGGGATACTAAATTGGAGATTAATCGCTCTCTGGTTCAAGTCAAAATTACGTTTTATTGGNGAGCGAAGCAAGTCTCGGTAACTTGTTGGCACGTGATATGTGACGTCAATACCACAGAATTTCATTATTATACTATTGTGTACTCTTCGGAAACGCTTTCATGCCGGAAACTGCTTAGGGATCTTGCTGCTTTCCGAATGTTTCTACCAATTATTATTCGTTCAACAGGCGTACTTGACTCCGAAACGCTATATCTGTTGATACTTTTGCGGTACTTTTAGTAGAATGATATGAATCATCCTGAGAGAGATTGCCAGCTGACGAATTTATGACAAAAACATTGATGCTAAATTTTTAATAAATTTGATAGGGTCCAGCTCTTACTTTTAAAATGCTGGTATATTTTAAACTTGGCCGAGATAGAATGGCTGGCAGGACGCTGGACTCACGTTCGTGAAAACTGGAGTTCGAATCCAGCAGGCCGAAGACTCCCCGGGTAGTAAATGGTGACTGGTGCACGTTAAATCCATCGGGTTTTAAAGTCCTCATTGTTCCTATAACAAATTATACCTCTGGGGATACTGAATTGGAGATTAATCGCTCTCTGGTTCAAGTCAAAATTACGTTTTATTGGGTGCAAAAATGGGTTCGCCTTATAAACGGGTGTGGCCGAAGTCAAATTCTTGGCCATAGATCGCACCCCCTCTGCCTTAATGGCCGACGACAATAACATACTTTAAACTTACTATTAGGAATATTTCTAGTAATATTTAGGCTATTACAACAACGCATATGTGCATAATTTTTTTTATATATCTTAACTATTTTCCTGCTATCATTAAGAGAGATCCTGTAATTATTGTCGATACTGGTGTGTAGGGTGATACTGCTGATCTCTGTCATAACTCTAAAAGGAGAATAGTTAAAGGAAAGCACGATTGAGTTGTCAGTAAGAAGGAAAAGACTTAAGAGCGAAGATTCCAAAGCTAGAGAGATCCTAATATAAGAACAAGAATTATGTCGGAATATAAAAAATATAAAGCTCTGCACAAAACAGAGATCACTAAAATGAAGAAAAACAACCTACATGAATATTTAGAAGGAAAAAAATCACAACTAAGGAATGCTTTAGCCCGAGCCAAAAATATCAGAAAATCAGTAATACAGAAAATTATGCAATATAATGGATCATTTACAAGTAACTAAACAGAAACAATTAAAACCATTCTCCAATATTTCTTTGTGCAGGCCCAGGACACCCCACTACCGCAGCTAGAAAATCATTATAGCAGGGGCTTTAAAATTGATAATCTTATTGAACCTGATTGACGAGTTTTTCGTGGGCAAGTATATGTCACGGATAAGGTTCTTAGACGAATACAAAAAATTCACCAGGTTATCCGCAGTGACAGCCAGGTATTAACAGATTATCTGCAGAGTATACGCAGAACATTACAATAATGGATTCGCCATTTTAAAACCTACTTCTCTTTTGCTGCATTTAATATAAAAATAACAGTACAAAATGGAAAAAGTGAATGAGAATGCTGAATCTTAGTCGAGACTGGTTTAACTTTGTGAAAAGGAAAAATTTTGTGTGTATTCTTAAACATGTTTGCGCTGTTTGTAAAATTATTATTTTTTTTTTCAACAAATGTTTTGGAAGGCATTGTTTGAATTAAAAATAACGTTTAATTAGGTTTAATTTTAAAATTTCATATCCCCAGTTTAAATGATAAATTTTAATTTTTTGCTAGACTAGAGAATTTAAATAAGAAATATTTTTCACTTGTTCCAACACAAATTTTCAGATTTTTTTTTTTGCTAAAAAAATTTTTAAAATACATTATCACAAAAAAAGCTAAAGTTTCGAATACCTTAATGAAATGTGGGATCAGATATGTCAAAAAATTGAGCTTCAGTTTTCCCTACAGAAATTTCACATGCACAATGCATAAGAGTCGCTATCATCGGGGCAAAAGAGGCAGTGCATTGGGGTCTCCAAACTACAAATGTCAAAAAATATATATAAAAATAAAATTAATTTAAATTTTTTTGTGATATTTGCATTTTTCTAAAATTTCTTTTTTTTTCCCATCTATCTCCAAACACATAAGTGGAACAAAACAAACTTATTTCTAAGACATCAATACATAGAAAAATGCTATTTTTAAGTACTTTCTAGTTAAAAAGATATTCCATTACACAGGGGTGATTGTAAGTCCAACTCAAAAATCCTGAAAATTTCTAGAGTAAAATTATTAAAGACGCATTTCAAAAAATTAATGTTTTTATAAATTTAAATCATTGATATTTTCACAACACGAAATTCTAAATAAGTTATATGCAGCATAATTTAAATTAATAGTTATGTATAAGTATACTTTTATCTCTAATCACATTTATTATTCTACCAGAAAAAATATTTACAAATAAAAGACATGCCAATCATAAATTCCAGTTCTAATATTTTTAAATAAAGTATACAAGAATTTTTATACATAAATGTGATCGATGATTTCTTGAAACTTCTGGATCTTGGATTTCGGGATCGTGGTTAGAGAAAAATCTGGATTTTTTCTGGGGCATAATCATCTCTTATTACATATTAAAAGTATCAGATTTCCACCAGTTTGTGCTTGCCACGGGGTCCCCAAAAATCTAGCAACAATGGTCCCCAAAAATCTAGCAACAATGGTTTAGATTTTATTTTTAATGTCACTATCAAAGACTTTGCAAAACTAAGCTAAAAAGCTCAAACACATGTAATCTAATTAAAAATGGAAAGCAAAAAAGGTTTGAGACATTTTTCATAAAATTATTTACCACTTTCAAAACTTAGTATAATTAAGTTTCAGAGTGGGCCATTTTGAAATATATAAAAATATAGTTTTAAAGTAAAAATTAGAATATAAATTTTATAAATCATTCAAAATTTCCAGAAAAAAGGCATCTCTTCCTGATGAAAGGAGAGATGGTAAGGTTGGACATGTTTTTGACAGTTAAACAAACAGAATTTAAAAATTTTCCTGAAAAAAATTATGTGTCTATAGATCCTACTATGTCATTTATTTAATCTAACACCTCAAAGGTAATAGTATAGCTTTATATGGGGAAAACAGTGGACGCACTTAAATGTCTTATCCCCCCTATTTTATATTCGTTTGAAAAAAAATTTTTAAATGGCTTTTAGGTTTAAATTAACAACTATTTTTCAAATTATCATATTGGGTCAATGAAACATCAAAAGCAATTATTTTAACAAAATTGAACAATACTGAAATCTTTCATTGCATAAAAAATTTTAACTAAAATGATCCACAGCAATAAGAATGCTGTGGTTATGAAACTGGTGAAAGAGTCAGAAATTATAAACAAAGTCTATTTTAGACAAAATTACAGGTGTATTCTCTCTCTCTCTACCTACTCTACAGTAAGTAAATACATATATATGACAGTTGGTTTAGTTAAAATAAATCGGCTCAAACTATTTCAAACAAAATATTAAAAAATACATACCATTTTATACAAAAATTAAATATTCACTCACTTTTCAAAATTATTTTAATCGTTTAAAAAATACATTACCAAAAAAGGGTAACAATGAATATAAAAACAGGAAAAATACTTTGGCACTTTTTCTAAAAGATAACATTACAAATTTGATTCAAATTTTTGGTGTGAATTCGAAAAACATTTTTTAACATTTGTACAATTAAGTATTACATACAAAATTTTAAAATAACGAAACAAAACATTCATAAATAGTAAAAAAGGGGGTTTACAAATTACAGTAAAATGATTCATAAAGCTGTATCAGCCATTTGCTGCCTGCTTTGCTTGCCGTTTTCTGCAGGTAAAACTTCTGTTAGTATAACGACTTCGTAGGGAGCACAATCTTCAAGATCCATTACACCACAAAGCCATCCATAAAATCCTTTTTCCAGATCTTGGATTTCTTGCTTCCAACTATCAAAGTGCCAAGAAATTTGAACAATAGCACTATAAATGCCCAAGCCAATAGTAAAAAGTGTAATTAAAAATGGGTAAGTAATTATCAATAAAGGACTGATAAAAATTTTGTGAAATATTGTTTTCTTTTCACTGAAGTAAATTAAGATGTTATACCATGTCATCGTTCCCATGTAAAAGGAATATCCAGCAGACAACAGTAAAACTAATGGCACTAAAATAATACTTAAAGCTAACACATGGAGACCTTTACGAAGACCACAAAAACAACTATCATCATCTTCAATATTCTGTGATAAAATTGTGTGCTCTATTTCATCAAGTTCTTCACGAGACATTTGTACTTTCATATCTAGTGTTTGCCCCTTTTTTCGACCACGTTTAACTGTACCTGTCATAGTAACAAAACTACCACCACAAGAGCCAATTGAAGATACTGATCTAGAATTTAAAGCAGATCTCTCATTTGATAATTCCATTTCAGCATATCCACTATCATTGATATGAACACAGTCAGATATGTCACTATTTAAATCAGATTCATCACTTTTATTGCAAGCCTTCAATGACTGTTTTTGATATGTTATGGATTTCAGACGAGGGGATGCCAGTTTAAGACCCTGAGAATCATTATGAACCTTAATTGTAGGCCTTTCTCTTGCATGTTCTGATGGATGAGGCTGATGTAATTTTCTATTTGCACGAGGATCAAATTTGGGACAAGCTTGAGGAGAACAATTATTAGTTGTACCTAACATTTGCAGACTTTCATTACTAGATCGTGATGATGATTTAGAACCTCTTTTTCTAGGAGGTACAAAAACTGGTTTGTCAACAATATCCATCTGAGTCTGAAAAGAAATTTTGTAAGTTAAAACTGATAAATTTCTCACTACACAAAATTTAAAATGAAATCAGCATAAAGTAACTAGTTACTTTAAAACAAATATAACAGATTAGAACAGCTTTATGTCTTTAATTCTTAATTAGATTAACATATGGGTGGGTCTGAAAGAAATTTCCTCTGAATGGACAACTTTTCTTTTGAATAACAGGGGAAATAAAAATTTGTTATTTGCAAACGCAGCTAGATTGAATAACCAAAATTTCCAGGTCAAGTAATCAGATACCATCTAAGCTAAGTTTCAGTCCTATATAATTAAGGCATTGGTTCAACAGATTAATATGTCGTTAACCAATAAAACAGCTTATGTAACAGCTTTTAGTAACGTGATGAAAATTTTTAACAACAAAAAGATTTATAAAGATTATATAGTTGCTAGATGTATAGGCAATAACAATTGTCAATTTAATTTAAAAATTTACAACTATTTTTTGCCTTTCAAATTTAGCTTCAGCAGATCACACAAACTGGATTTAGGTAACAAAGATAAAAAAAATAATTTACATTTAAAACTAACTTTATTTTTTGTTATTGGCAATCTGAGAAACTATTACTGGAATTGCAGTTTTCCTCGAATACAAAAATGTGTTCAGTAAAACAATAAGAGAAACCTCTAAAATTTTACTACAAGTAATAAAGTTTTATTTACATTAAAAATTTAAAAAGGGGTTTTGAGTCAAAACAAGTAGATGTGCCTGTGACTAATTCCCTTCAAAAGAAACTTGCCATGACTGGAAAAGTGAACCATAACCAGCCAGGGTGAAAATCAAACTTATATCAGCAACTTGATAGTCAGAAACATTGACACTCAAATAATTTACTAAAAAGAATTGTGTTTTTCAACACAATTAAAGCATTCCTTTAAAACAAAAACTAAACGATACTTCAGTTTTCATATAGTAGTTTTAAATTTTATCAAAATCATTAAATTTTGGTACATTTTACTGAGTTAGTGTAAGCATCTAATTTTTTTTCTTAAAAATTATTTTTTAAGATATAGTAATTAAGCAGAAGTCTGAAAATTGGAAAGATACTTTCTCATTCTGGCTTCCCATTTAGGTTTATGTGCAAATTTTTTTTTATTATATATCCTAACAGAGTAATTTTTACCAAAAATTATTGTAATTAATGCAAAAATAAAATTATTTGCATACATATTCATTAATTTTAAACTAAAAATAGTTTTTGAAGAATATTTTCTACATTTTAAAATTCTTATTTATGTGTTTGTAAACCATCGATTACAATTTGGTTCATTTGCTGTTCAGAAAAAGTTTTAAAAAAATTATGGAGTGGTGTACAAAACATACTACTGAACTAAGAACTTTTACTCATGAAACCTACATAGTAAAATTTTGAAATCTCCTGACAACTTTTCTTTAGTAATTTCACTGCATAGTTTTACAATTACAGAAAACTTCCTAAAAACAATTGCTATATTACTTCCAAGAAAAATATCCGATTCAAAGCATTTATGAAACTTCATTCAGGCTACATTTTTAGGGCAGAAAAATAAAGTGAAAATTGCAAAGAATTAATTCAGAAAAAATTATGTTCATTATCGAAAATAAATATGTCACAAACATTATACTTCAGAAAAAATTTTATACTCAAAGTATTTACAAAAAACTTTCATAAACTTTGTCTGCACCTAAAATGACATTAAACAATTATAAGACCACTAATGTATATAAATGCTTTAGATAATTTGATACATTGGTGGTCAATAAAATTTTAAATTTATTAAATCAAGAGTAAAGTATAAAATATAATCTTCCAGATAAACCAAAGTAGTCTACCTCCTTAAATTGAACTCAAATATAAACAAACGTTTAGTAGGAAAATATTACCTCCTTTTTTAAACTAAACAAAGACTGCACTAATTTTTACGCTCAGTTATGTCAAGCTCAGATTTTAAAACAGTGAAATTTCTTAAATCTCCATAAAACAAGGATGAGCAGTGAAAAAATGATGCAGAGGAAAGCGTTAATAAAATGTAAGGTTTGCACTTTTCGAATTTTGAATACTATCACATATTTCAATACTTTCTGTTTTATATTAACAACTGTTTTGAAGTATTAAATTTATATTTTATTTTATAATTTGTTCGCAGATAAATTGCTATTTGAATGCATTTTATGTGTAGCTTTAATTGAAGTTTTAAAAAGCTTTTATTGAAGTACTAATAATGTAAGTTCTAATATTAAAAATAAAGCTTAGTTTACCTTCATATTTTCAATGTAAACATTAGAACTATACTTTTACACATCTTAACGAAAAATAAAGGGATAGATATGTTTTTATGTTTTTTCGAAGAAAATATATCGATATCAGGACAGTAGAAGAAACTGAAATCTCAGAAATAGAATAAGTTTATTGAAGGTAAAATAGAATGAACTAAATTGAATTTTTAAGTAGTTTATGATCTTATAAAACATACTTAAATCGATAAATTTTTGTGTTTTTCACAGCAAGTGCATTTTACAGCAAGTGCAATTCTAATAAAATTTATCAAAGAAAAAAATTAAAATTGATTTAGTTTCATTACTAACTGAAATTTAACATCCATACATTCTTTCAGAGTAATAGTTTATAGTTTAAACTAAACTCAGCAACGCGACAGCCCTAGAGGGCCAAGGTCTACTGTGCCCATCTCAGTTTTCTTGACCTTGGGCTCTGGGGTGCAGAAGCAGATGTTCCGGTCAGGTGGTCAGCCGAACGCGGAACTCCCATTGTTTAGTTCCCAAGCATGCTTGGTACTCATTTATCGACCCACTGAAGGGATGAAAGGCTGAGTCAACCTTGCCCTGCCCGAGGATCGAACCAGGGACCTGTGGCACGGCAGCGGCCTTTAATTTAATGCAAATTTTGATATATTTAAGGTAATATATCATATCATACATAAATAATAATTTTTAAAAAATAAATAATTGAAAATAATGGAATGATGAAAATACAAAAATGACATGGGTTGCGTACATAATAGTAAAAGCGTAGCCATCAACCCCTAGTTATAAAAATAAAGAAGAAACACTTAAAAATGCAGATTTCTACTGCATAATAATAATTTTATGGAAAAAAAGCAAATTTCAAATATTTACTGTTTTATAAATCCAGTATCATATAATGCAGGTAATTGTGACACAAAGTGAAAAACCCAGAAAAAATTTCGAGCAAAAAATCGATATGACAATATCAATTTATATACCAATCATGTTTCATACGTAACATAATTTTTTCAACTAGCATTTATAATTAAAAAACCTACTAATGAAGAATATTAAACCTTCATAATAACTAATTCAAGAAAAAACTTCGACGACAGTATTTCTCTCCTGCGAAAAACTAGTAGTTTTTGTAAGTTATTTTTTATTAATAAAGGAGATTAAATTTTTTTATTATTATTATCTATGTTTTTATGAGTAATCTTTATTGTTAATGGAGAAAAATTATTTCTTGAGATTCACTTTCATATCAGCGCAAATTGAGATACATAATCTATGCAATCTTTGAATTCAACATTGGCCGAGTTTTCTTATATAAATAACAGAAAGATTTATATTCCTGTGGTTTACATTTCCTACTTGCTTCTTAATAATGCAATTTTACAGTCTAAAATTGCGATTCATTTTTACGAATTTTAAAAAACAAACATGTATTGACAAGTTTTAGAAATTATTGTGATTTAAAAAAACAGGATTTGTATTCACGTTTAAAAAAATGTATTATTTTAAAACCAAACATTGTGATTCGCATTCATGCATTTTTAAGCGTCAAATATCGTGATTTGTATTTCCGCAATTTAAAAATAAAGCATCATGATTCACATTCAGGTGATCTGAAGATAAAACATATTGATTCATATTCATACTTTTTTAAAATCAAAAATCGCAATTCAGGTTTACATGATTTTAACATCAAACATCTTTCGTTTCCTTGCATTTAAAAAATAAAACATTGAGATCTATGTTCACTTAGAATCAATTGAACTTTTTCGCAAGTAAGACTTACTATATCATCTGTCAAGTTTTAGAAAAATTATGCGGCTCTAAGTGTGTCATTGAATTCGAAAAAATATGATTAAGTCCTCCGTCGAAAGAAAAAACAAAATTAATTTCCAAACAACTCAATAGAATGGCATTATAATATTAAAATTAGCTTAATGCAACTTCCCTTCATAATTTTTACCATCTTTACTTTCTTTCTTATAATGCATAGGCATTGCATGAATGGAATATTGAGTTAGTAATCTTATCTTACCAATTTAACTACATAATTTACTGATTAGCTTTAAAATTTATATTCATTTAACTTTCATAAATATAAATTTAGTACATTCAATAATTCTTACAAATCGAACAAATAAAATAAAATGTCATATTTTGACACCATAATAATGCATATAATACACCTAACATTAAAAAAAATAAGAATAGATTGTTTATTTAAAATCCTCTTAACATACATACTTTAAAAACAGATTTTCCCATTCTAGACATAAATTAAGCATTTATGCATAGAAATTTGGATATTTTTAAACAATATTAAAATACATTTATAAGACGATTCAAATATACTTTTATAACTAACTTTTAATATAAATTGTATGGGGATAAAAAAAATTGTTAGTGATTAAAATTTTTTTTTATTTTTCATGAATGAAACTTGAAAATTAGGAATGAAGTTATAAAAATTTAAACATTAGAGCTCGAAACCATTTTTATAGTAAAATTTTTATCTAAAAATTTGCAATGCTGCATTGAAATAATCCAATGGAGAAAAAAACTAACCTTATGAATCATTCATCACTCACTCTGGCGTGATCATGAAATTTGAATTTTTTTTAAAAATAAGATTTAATAAATGTCCTAAGCAGCAGTATTTTTTTTTTTTTTTTTGCAAGCGTAATGAATTAAAAATGTTTTTGTTTATGTCATCGTAACTTACATTTTTTTTTATTCTTAATGTAGTTCAAGTCTCAAATGTAGTCTTTGAAATGTGTTAAACTATTTTTTTTCAGTAGCATTTGGTTCTACTTGATTCATTTACATTACTTAAAAGATAGTTCATATTGACATATATTATTTGATTCATTTACATTACTTAAAAGATAGTTCATATTGACATATATTATTTATTTTAACTTGCAAAGATGCTTAACTTCAAGTGCTTTTTCTGGGAGAAAAAAGATAAATTTATGATTCTCTTCACAAAATAATCTTCTTTATTAAAATGCATCCCTGTTTGTTAAACAAGTCTTTTATATTTTTGAACTCAAACGTTCAACATAGATTCCTCTTGTTGGAAAACAATGATAGAAATAAATTCCCTTTTCTTTGCTTTTTTGAACCAGTTTTTGTTGCAACACCACAAATGGATGGCATAGCTGCATATTTCAGGTAACCCTAAACAAAGCTAAACCTTAAACTTTTATTACCTAAATAACTTCTGATCTAATGACCGGATCTTCAAGTTCTAGGACTTGATCTTAATGGTTCAAGGGACTGACATTAAATATTGTTATTTATTAGTGCAGACAATACTTTAAGTTAAGAAATCAGACACAGAAATATACTTTCTCTGAAAGAAACCTATTTTTTAAAAAATATATTAGGATTTCTGACCCCAAAAATAAGGGGTAGCTACAGTCTGGGAAATAAGGTTCACAGTTTGGTCAAGAGAGCAATTTGAAGTTTGAACACATAAATGTCAATTTTACTTTTTGGGTGTTTCGCCATATTTCTAGAATTTAATGAATTGAAAAAATTTCGCACACTATTATAAAATTCATTTATCCAAAGATAATTTTATGTAAATAATAATTTTTAGTAAATATTAAATCATTTTCATTCATTTATTTAATAGTAAGTGAAAAATTTTTTAACTGTATGATATACTATTTTTTGCATCATTTTAAAGAATATAAATTTTACATGGCAAAATACAAAAAAATTAGCAAATTTGATAAATGAGTTGCTGAGAAATCAAAATTTAAAAAAGACGCAATTTTAAAATTAAATTACTCAGACACTATTTGACCGATTTCACGCAAATTTTGCATTTTGCCATGTAAAATTAACATCTTAAAAACAATGAAATCATACAATTCAACATTCTTTTGCAACTATTATTCATTAAAATAATAAATATTTATTAAAGCCTATCTTTTGTATGGAATTATCTTCGGAGACAAATTTTATAATTGTGTACAAAATTTTTAAATTTGTTTAAAAAGTTCTCAAGATATGACGAAATACACGAAAAGTAAAACTAGCATGAAGTGGTCTAAACTCTGGACCGCTCACATGACAAAACTATTGAGACAATATTTCCCATATTGCATCTACACCTATATTTATGGGGTAAGAAGTCCCAATCTGTCAACAACAAAAAAAAGACACATTGAATTAGGGAAATTACACTTTTGTGTACGATTTCATAACTTAAAATATTGTCTGCACTAATTTATAAGCACATTTGTGACCTCTTGTCTAGTAAGACTCTTGTCTAGTAAGACTCTAGTCCTAGAACGTGGAGATGTGATCATGAGATCAAGAGTTATTCTGGGTGGTCCTTTTTTTGTGCACAGTACATCTTATTTTATTTGGTGTTCAAAAACTTATTCTTGAATTTGACCACTATGACAAATGTCTAAACAATTGTGGTACCTATGTACAAAAATAGTTTCTGAAAAGCTTTATAAAGTAAAAATAAATTTTGTTTGGAAAAAAAATTTGATGCGAGTTTTTCCAAAATGGTACTTTCTGGACATACCTCATAATACAGTGTAACGTCCCATATCTGGACGTCCCTTTTCCGGAAGGGTTGATTTCCCGGACACTTTTTAACAATCAAAATAAACAAACATTTCTTCATCTTCCCCCCTTTAAAAAAAAAAAAAAAAAGGAAGTTTTTTGACAGGTTTTCCCCCTCTTCAGCTTCTAGAGATCTATGCATTGAACCCATAAATCAACAGAAAAGAGAATAGAAGATCTACTAAGACCATGACGCTCCACCTCTGCAATGCAGGAAAGGGGGGGGATTTGTTTTCAAAAGGGCACAACTGAGTCCCCTCCCTCCCCCTTCTTTTGAGTCCCCTCCCTCCCCCTTCTTTCCTATGCAGCTGGCTAGTAAAAGAGGCATTCCTGGAACATTTTTATTTGAGTGTCAGGGGAAGAAGAAATACTGTGAAAAAGGGTAAACACAGCAAATGTTAAAGTGGAGGGAGGAATCCCCTTTAGTCACACAAGAACAAATAAAGAGAACCCAATCAGCATGCCACGCCTTTATGCTTGATTGATAGCCAATGATGGGAGAGAAAATAAGAATTTGTCACTACCCCGCCCTCAACTTGAATGACAAGTAAGGAGGAAATGAATTTTTCTTCTCCGCCTACCCACCTTAATGAATGACGGGAATTTCCCCTTCTTGCTTGAATCATTCTAGTTCAAAATGGCGGAGAGAGCAATTAATATTTTAATAACTGTGAATTTTTTTCGTTTTCTATATTTATTTTTAAAATAGCAATAATTATTTTTTTTCTAGTATTTTGTTTATGATTGATTAGATATCATTCTAATACTAAAACATTATTGCCCGAAAAATAATGTTTATTTATTTTCTGCTTCTTAGATTCAGATCATTTTAAGCTTTGTTTACCTTGGAGGTCAATCATACGGAAAAATCAAATATACGGACTTCGGGAAGTCCCGCCGATTCCGGATATGCGACTTTCCACTGTAAGGCCTTTCAAAAATAAATTATTTTAAATTTTTAAGGTAACATATACAGATTGCAATAATGAAACAAATATATTCAGGCTTCATAAAAATATGGACTACTTACATGATAATCAGCCATATTAGATGATGCAATATGCATTTTTTATAAAGGATGCACTAAAAATATAAAAAATAATAATTTAATCACAAAAAAGAAAGCATTCATAATTTAAAATTTAAGACATTCAACTTATAAAAAAAGCATCAATTAAAGAAAAAAAAGCTATTTCATGTTACACAACAAAAAGCATAATACAGTATACCCTTGAAGGATCATTTCTCATGAAACCATTCATCATGAACAATTCATACAGGAAAACAAATATGGAAAAATGAAATATCATATGACATGCAAATTAATGAAAAGTAGTAAAGATATAAAATTGACTTGAAAATCAATAGATTTACAATGAGTATAAATATTTTAGATGAAAATTTTTTTAATAATTTCGAAAATATTTCTGACACAAAAGATATACTCATTTGTTTATTTAAAATATTTGGAAATTTTGGGTTGAGCAATCTCTTTTCTTCTCCGCAAAGACTCTAAATTTTTGAAATTCCAAAGAGATTAATTTTATTTTTTCACAAGAACACAGAATCAGATTAAATTCTTTTCTTAAGATTGAACAAATAACTTAACTGCAAACTAAATTAAATTTGTATTTTCAGTATGAGCTGATGATTATGTTACTATTTTTTGATGATTCTTTTAATAATATGTAATCTTTTAATAATAAAAATATCAAATTAAAATCTAAAACTCATAAGTGTGCAAAAATATGAAGTAAAATAGCTGAAGCCTTAATTGAGCTTTAGTTTATTATCTCGAGGAGAGCTAAAGCATCAAAATATTTTTGGCTATGGGTCTCTCCTATATGAATGTAGAAGACACTCCAATTTTTTATTTATTTATTTTTTTTTTTTTACTTATTTAAAGCAATTAAAAATTCAAAAGTTAGTATTTCTAAAATTATCTCAGTTCTTTTTTTAATTTATTTACAGTGCTACAACAGCTTTTGAAAATTAATCATTTTTCCAGCAAATAAAAAAAAGTAAATTGTTGTTGTTGTTTTCGTGTAATAAGAGTTTTAATAATGGGTTTGACTATCAAGAGAGCAGAGTCATTTGTTAACTTAAAGAGTCTGACCAATCTCATATATGTAAGAGTAGAGTTTTTGCTTTTTTAGGTTCACCAGTGGGCTTTGCCAGTTATTTTGTTAAAGCACACATCCCGTTGGGTATCATGTTTTTAGTTTTTTTTAGCAAATTTCCATACCACATCGAGTAAAGGCTAGCTGAAGTACAAGTGGAGTGGAAAGCCGGTGTTTAATTTAGAAAATCTGACTACTAGTCTTGAGTCTAGTCTGAGTACTAGCTGGTCTGAGTACTTGGATAAGGGAATGCATCTAATTTCTACTATGGATTGAACTTGACAAAAATAGCTCAAGGGGGATCTATGTTCTGGCAAAAAAAAATTTTAATTTAATAGCCATAGTTGCTGTATTTTTACACATTGCTGATTAAGGGCTCTGTGTTGTAGAGAACAATAGAAGTCCATTGTTTTGTTTTTTTAGAGAAAATATTTCTGGAATTCCAAATAATATGAATAATACATTCTAAACTATAGACAATTAAAAGTGTTAATACTTATTATTAAACAAAACTAAGTTTTAGAAAGTTAACGAAAGGACTAATACTACTATTAGGTTGACAATTATATAGTTAAGTAAGATTGCGAGCATAATGTAGAAACAGTGAGCTTTATATGTGCATAGCATAGCAAAATGGCACTATGTAAAATTAGCAATATGGCAAATGTGGTGCACCAAGGGCCATAGATGATGGGCATGCATGACTGCTGTGGAAATGGATTTGGGCGAATGGAGGTGCAACTGACTGCTTGGATGAACTAAGGGGGTACCAACATTGTCTCAATGGCAGTTAAGCGATTTGCTGTATATGAGCCTCCACAGCATTCGTCTGATAAATGGACTTATGTCAACTGCTGTTAATTGTCAACAAAAGCTGGACTTTGCATGCCAGTACTGCAACTAGACATCCACTGAATGGGGAGAAGTGGCTTTTTTCAATGATTCATGTTTTATGCTCCATCAGAAAGAAGGGCGCTGTTATGTTTATTATAGTTATATACAAACACACTGCAGCAATTACCGTAGGGATCCAAGCAGGAGGAGGAAGTATTATGGTATGGGGAATGTTTTTGTGGCATTCTTTAGGTGCACTTTGAAAGGCACAAGGGATCCACACAAGTCCTTACAAGCTATGTCACCCCTACATGCAAATTATTTTGTACCTATGATTGCACCTACCAGCAATACAATATGATGAGTCATACAACTTACAATGTACATGCGTTGTTTAAAAGGCACCAAGATGAGTTTGCAGCATTCAACCTAACTAACTAACAGCCCTGACTTAACCCAATCAAGAAGTTGGACCACCTCGATTGGGGTACCTTAGACCCTCAACCGTGCAATCTAGTGCAACTGACACGCGAGTCAGCATGGCTAGACATTCCAGTAAACACTTTTTAGAACATGATAGACTCTACATGTTATGCAGCGGCCTCATCAAATGACTTTTGAATCTAATATTTTGCCGCTCCATATAGCAATCCCAGAGGTATAGGTTACACATTTTTTAATACATTTTCTAATATTATATTCGTATCAATTTTGTTTTGCTCTCATTTGATTTAATGGGGGGGAGGTAAAGCATAGAAAATATGACCTTACTCATACAGATAAGAATTTCAGACACATGAATAAGCATTTTCAAAATTTGTACTTGTTTCATACTTTCTAAATTACTAATAATTTCTGAACTGTAAGTCCTATCAACTTGATTTTGATATAATTAATCAACAACAAAAATACAACAGAACAATACCTCTTTAGTAGAGATAGAAAAGCTGTAGCTTTTTACCTTTTAATCCTCTCAATAAATTCAAGAAGTCAGCTTAAGCTCACATTAGGAAAGAGGAAAAACTTCAAATTTTCATATTGAACCTCAACTTCAACTTTTAAAACAATTTCCAGCTTTCCACTAATCATTTTTTAAAGTGCAGCTTTTCTTTTTGTGTCTTGGAAAATGGCTTAATCTGCTCATTATACTTTTTTTTAACTAATACAAATAATTTTTAACTTCAATCAAAATTAAACACCTCATTTGTATGAAACAAACATGACAAATTTCAAATTACTTATACAATTCTTTGGTACATAGAGTCCAGATTATGAAATCCTTTCTGTGCTTAGTATCGACGGGTAACTATATTATTTAATAAACATGGAAAAACTGCAAAATAACCAGGGGGTCTGTCTAGGTATTTTTGAGAAGTACCTATTTTGCAAAAATTTAGACATAATTTGTGAAATTTAAAAATTATATTAAAAAATCAATACAAAAATATGGTAAAATACGAAATATTTTCAAAAATATTTAAATATTTTTCGAAAATATGTTAAAAGTATTTTGGGAAACTACCGTTTTTGATAAAATTGAATTTGTGTAAGTAACGCTTAATGGTAGTAAATTTGTCCTGGACAGACCCCTGATATCACATAATAAAGCTAACAACTTAAAAATACACAAAAACTTTAAATAACAGAAAAATACACATTTATTTTAAGATAATATGGTTACCTCAGAGTAACTATTTATTTATATAAATGCTTAATTTCTCAAATAGCAATTTAATAAGGGGAAGACATAACTTAGGAAATTCACTTTGGGATGAAATTTGATAATATATTTAGTAATGTACCTTAAAGGTACTCACTCTTTAAATAAAGCAAATTAGTCAGCCAATTCTTTGAAAAACACATTTTAAAATTTAAGTTTATTTATTGTAGTAAAATAATACTAGTAAAGTTTTCACTTCGTAAGTGGCACAGAGACTAAGTGGTAAAATACTAGACTGACAAAGAAAGAGTTTGAATCAAGTATCTCTCAATTTTGTTTTTTATTTTTTTTTATTGAAGTTTTCTTCTTATATACAAACAGTGTTAGTTTAAATATAATTTTACTGCATTTTCATTATCGCATTCTTTTAGTTGCTAAATATTTCTTGAAATTTAAATTTCATTAAAAATTTAATCTTTTAATAAAAGAATGATTAAAATTATATACGATATTTATAAATATTGCTTATAATAATTCAAAAGTTACATTATTTTTAACAAATTTTATTTATAGATTATGATTCATAAATAATATTATAAATTATAATAATCATAAAAAAACAGAAAACAAAAAATGATAATTGATCTGCTTCACAATTAATACAATATTGTTTCCGTGAGTAACTTATATTGAAAATTATAAGCAGAAAAACCTACTTCAGAGCATTCAATAAGAATTCTCTACTTTCTGAAAGTTTAGGAGCAAAACAAGCTTTATCTTTCTATTAAAATTAGATGATGACGAATGATAATGAAATATTAATTATATTTCAATGGCCTGTCGAGAAGTTATTTCTTGATTCTGTTTGATTAAACAGGCAAAATTTTTCTGAAGACTATATTAGATTTCATGTTTTGTTTTTTTTTTAAAATAATTGTTGCAAGATTATACTGTACAAGTACATTTTGCAGGAATCACTTTAAAATTTAACTTAAAAATAAATCTTTTAATTATCATTATAGTGAATGAATAAAATATTACTGTAATTTAAATGTGAAGTAATTCCTGATAGTTAAAAACTTAATAAATTTATATGTAAATTAATACTATTCGTAAACTGATAATATATATTTACATAAAAATGTTACAAAAAAACTGCAATCAAATAAATAATGTCAAGCAACATTTAATGACTAGAAAAATAAAATAAAATTATATTTAAACTAATTTTATTAAACTAAATAAATAATTATAAAAATTTAAGAGAAAAGTACTTCAAGTAACCCATGCAGTCAATTTAACTTTAAGCATCTCATTGTCATGCCAATATCTTATCAATAGGTCACTTTGCTGTTAAAGAAGTGAAAAATTAACTGATAAAAAGTGTGCTTAAATTTTCAAATATGTTTTTACTTAGAAATGGCTGGCTAGAATACTTTATTGAAAGGGATGCAAACCCTTAAAGTGCATTACTAATATATCAAGTTTAATTTCTAAGTGAATTTCCAAAGTCATGTTTTCTCCTTTTAAGTCCTCGATGCCTAATAAACATTCTTATAACAACGAATATCTTGATAACAATTTGAATACCTACCTTCAAATTACAAATAGAAACTTCATTGGCCCCTCCAGACTTTGTTTACACAACATGCAGTTTTCAAACAAGCTAAAAAATAAATACATCACTTTCAACAATAAAATAATACAAGTTAATATCATATATATTTACCTTTCTAACTCATTCAATCTATAGTTATAGATATTCAACCTGGCTACTTAAAATATACAATGATTACATTAAATAAACAAAATTATTCATACTAAAATAAAACAATATCAGCTTTTTAGTCACGTAAGTATATACACAAAAAACATGTGTATTGTGTTCATATAACAAATAAACACTATAAGGTAATTATTGTACTCATTTGTTACATGAATAATATGTTTCATATTATATTATATTGTTTATGTAATGTAATACTTACTATAATAAGGTAAGTTTTTTTTAGCAAATAATACAGCATTAAACAAATAAGACAAATATAAAAGTGTCCTCACATTCTACAGGCTCTAATTCCTTTTTCAGAAACATTTCACGAAAATTAGGCATGTCTAGATACATGCGAACATGCCTTCTATCTCTATCGTTCATTAACTATCTTAAGAAAGACAAAACTATCAATAGCTAATATTATTGGGCATTAATCCCTTCCTTCTCGCTCCCATGAAAATGATGGGCTGAGTTTTCGCCCGTTATTTCTCGCTCCCGTGATATTGAAGGGCTGGATTGTTCAGTAGTAACGCGCCAATAAGAATAAAACTAATCTGTTTCTTTTGCCCGGAAAACATTTGATTTCTCATTTTACACACCTGATGGCAGTACCAGGATATTTTTAAGGTAATTGCAGATAGTTAGTTTATTTTAAACAAGTTGCAGCACTAATCAAATACGTAATACAAATACAAAAGCCAAAAAAATAGGCACTTTTATGACCGTTTTCTTGAACATTAACCGATCGTCAAGGGGTTAATAGATCAATTGACTGATCACATGATGATTGACATCAGATGCAAAAGAAAAAAATATGCGATTTCACAAAAACTGGTGCCTAAATTTAAATAATAAAAAAGTACTACTAATTAAAATATTAAAAAACTCATTTGTTAAAATTACATTGCATTTAAACTTCAGTTTTTTATTATATGTTTTGAAAATTTATTTACTGTTTTTACCCAGTAATTTCTTATAATTTATAATTCCAATTTCTTAAGAGAATATTCTGATTTTTAAATAGTAAAAATTACATTTATGTTATGAGGCATAAGAATATTAGAATGGCTTTCGTAAAATTAAACACAAGAAAAGCTGGGAAACACTACTCAAGAAAAATGCTATTAAAAATGATGCACAATAAATCTTTCTAAAATTTAGATATATTATTCTTCTCAACTCTTAATACAAGTCAAAATTAGGCACTATTTTCATACATATACAATTTCTTAAGATTTTGAAGGAAATATTCCAGTTTCAATGTCTACAACATTGCCATAAAGTTCGTGAATTAGCAAAAATAAATTTTAAAATATTTTACTTAATAACCATAAAATTTTGGGTTTATGACTATTAATGTTCATCTCCATATTCCTGTAATTTTGAACCTGATCCAGAAGACAAGAGAACTCCTGAATCAAGTATTGGCAGAAATTTGTCTTCATGGAGGACTTTTTGATGAGATTAACGTTATTTGTGTTACGTGGAGAAAAATACTCTTAACCACAAAAACCTCCCAGTTAGCCTAACAGCAAAAGGACTCCTAAACCATGATTCGTCTATAACTGAGGATATATCCTACGTCAGCACTGTGGTCATTGGGGAAATCTTATCAGCCAGCCATTGTAGGGATTCAAACCCGGTTCACCTCATTGGAAGGCGAACGCTCTATCCCCTTAGTCATCTTAGCTCTCAGAAAAAAAAATATTATGGTTTACTTGCATGGCAATAAGTTAGAGCATTTGAATTCGGTGAAATTTATTTTAATTTCTAATGCAAAACAGCCCGGTTATTGCCAAAATATGATAACTTTTTTGCCATAGGTACTGATACACAAATTTCTCTAATTTAAATAACAAAATTTAAAAAAATAATTGGCATGAAAGAAATTTGATCATTTTTCAGAGAAATTCAGATAATATTCTTAACAGGCATCAACAGGGCGGATTAACCTATAGGTACACTAGGCACGTGCCTAGGGCCTACGAAAAACTTGGGAGAAAAAAATTTGTTGACAAAAATAATTTAGCTTTAAAAACAACAAGTGTATTTTGCACAAAATTATAAAGATAAAAAACAAAAATATAATATTTTTCGGTAATAAATTATTTTGCAGAATCTTATGATCTAATATATTACTTTTTTGCGATTTTTGGATTCAACGAAAACTTGTATTATGCTGTTGAATTCCAAACTATGCAAAATGTCGTATTCAATAGACATAAGTGCGAGCGATGCCAAACGATCTTGATTCATTGTTGAATGCAAATAATTTTTTTATCAATTTTAATCTGGAGAAAGATCTTTCTCCTTCTGCATTTGATCCAAGAATCGACAAATATATTCTTTATGCAATGTGAACGCTAGGAAAAGTCTTCACAAGTTTATCTTTAATTTCAGCCTTCATCATTTCTTGAGCAGATTTATGTTTATACAAATTTGAAAATAGTAAAAATTCATCTACAAAGTTTTCCTCTAAATCGGATGAGTATATTTTCTCCAAATTTTGAGCTTTTAGTTTAATCTCAGATTCTGACAAATTTTTGTGAACAAGAAAACCGAAATTATCATACAAATCACTGTAAGCATTATGCCTTTTAGTCATTTCTGAAATTAATGCATCTAAAATGGCGTAATACGTTCCTAACAAAAACATTTGTCTTGGATTCGAGTTTGAAATTACTTCTTGTTCTTCTGTTTCGTCGAAAAATCTCTTTCGTTTTCGTGTTCTCTTTATTTTATATTCAGTATTCGGCAAAAGAACTTGTGCTTTCGATTCTGATTTGTATTGCAGATAAAGTTTGATAAACAAATTGTAAATTAAAATCCATATTAATAAAAATGTTTAAAAAAATATGCAAGAAAATTTTAGCATATATTTTGAAAACAGGGGAGGAGGGGGGAAGGAGGGGAGGGCCCAAAAAAATATGCAAGAAAATTTTAGCATATATTTTGAAAACAGGGGAGGAGTGGGGGAAGGAGGGGAGGGCTCAAAAACAGCTATGCCTAGGGCCTACGAAAGGTATAATCCAGCTCTGGGCACCAAATATAACAATTTTAAAGATACTGTGCTTAAAAAATGTAGGATCACGTGAAACACAATGCCCTCAATATACCAAAAACTATTAACTCTTGAAATTTTAAATATTTCTTCAATTGCAGAACTGAGTTATTCCATCCAATAAAAAGATTTAAATGTGATTTGTATTTGATTAATTAAGATTGATCTGAAAATAGAATCCTATGGACGGCTCGGTTAAATATTAAAATAAAAAAATTAAGTAGTCTATGAAATACTCAGAAAGAAATAAATGAATATGTTTTGATTGGAGATAGCCACCGATTTTAAGTTTGTCACCTTTCATAATACTTTTTGAAGTTTCTCTTTAAATAAATCAATTTTGAGGAGGGAAGGTAATAAACGTTAAACTAAATATTAGTTGTTAAAAGCATTTCAATGAACCGATTATTTGGCTAATGTTACATTGGACTAGCATATCTTTGGAATTATATATATCATAAAAGAAAAGATTACATATACCATAACAAAAAATCTCTTTATTTGCACTTTAGTACTATGCAAAAATACAAGACATATTTCCGTTTCGTTATCTTTCACACTAACTACAATCGTCAGATTGTCAAATGGATTTTAAACTTGCACTCTTTTTAAAAAAAAAATTTACATATATATATAGCATGCAGATGTTTGTCCGGGGATGGCTACGAGTTGATCCCCTTCTGTGATGTATTTTTTAGTTTTTCGCAGGCCAATACAAAACAATTCAAAAAAATTAGCATTATCAAGTGTAAATTTAAGTAGGATATAACTTTGCAATTAATGTTTAAATTTATATATACAAAAAATAAAACAACTTGCACAGATTATTACCACCTAACTGAATACTCATTCAGAATTACTACTAATTGATTTTTAAAATACAAAAATTAAATTTACTCCTCTCTTCCATCACTTTATAAGGGTCATGTTGACTTAGTTTCATGTTCTTAAATTATTTTCATTTTAAAAAGTGATTTCTCAGTACTTCGCTTTCAATTATTTTGGGTTTCATATTCAAAGGGGAAATAAAGAAAATGAAAAAAAAGATTACACATAAATCAGTAATTACTTATGATTCCAACTTCAAAGTTGATAGATGTCGCTGAAAACTCATAAGAGCTGTCTTTACAGATGCAAACAAAGATATATTCAAAGGCCATTCTCACTGCATACGGTTCACACACTTCCAAATATCATCATACACCCATGAGGATGATCCGAAGACATGCCATCACAATTTTAATCCTCTGCACAAGGGATGGCACCCCCACTTCGGTAGCCCGATGACCTGCACGCGAGATCGAGCACTTTACGGTAGAACAGTTTAGCGAGGACCAATAGCGCACACCCTCGGTCCCTACGCAGACTGATCCAAGTGTTCACCCACCCGCACACTGACCGTAGCCAGTGATGCTTGACTTCGGTGATCTGCTGGGAACCGTGTGTGCCGGTCAGAGATTAAATAAAACTTTTCTAGTCCTTCTTTATATCTGCAGCATGGTCCAAATTTGAGGCTACTACCTTGTTCAACTCTGTCAGTTAGGCTAATCACCCCTTATTACACTGATATTTATCAATTTTTAGTATTTCTATTTATCTAAATAACCAAGTCTAAATTTGAGACTTCTATTGGCGATCGAAATTGGCTGCAGGTGGCGTAGAGCAGAACTCTCTACCTATGGCAACACTTCACATGCTTTTCCCATTGGCATGTGGAAAGTCATAGAGGAAGGAAGTACGTTAGTTTCTCTCTTGATTTTCACATAGATTGAAATCTTTTAAGTTGGAAAACTATATGGAACTGAAAACTACATTAAACATAGTTCTAAAGAAAATTATCACGGAAGTTTTAAAAATATTTTTATTAAATAAAAAGGAAAAATATCGTATTACATTCCTATACAACTGAAAAGAGGAGGACTTATTTAGCATTACTGGCAAATTTAGGTTAACTATCCCGATAATTAGAAATATCGAAATGAAACTTTTTCAGCTTTTGTTTTGCCTGTTATCTCATAAAGAATGCATAGTCCAAATCTGAGACTTCTATCTTGGTCAGCAACTTCAGAGCTTTTCCTACTAAAGAGCTGAATCTATTCAGAAAACCCATTTAACTACCTCAGAAACGAGTTTTACCTGGAATAACACCCTGGAAAAGTGAAGTGTGATGTAAGTCATTGTATACCTAGGCTAGGCTAATTAGCCCGATAAACCCAATAATTACAAATATCACAATGGAACTTTCTTAGAATGGAACTTTCATTACTGTCAATTTTAGGCTAATTACTTCGATAATTATTGAATATCACATTGAAACTTTTTGAAACGAAACACATGATCAAAATTTGAGACATCAAAAAAAATCAAAACGTTATTTACCATTACTACCAATTAAGCAAATCACCCCTAATTGCTCCGGTGATTACAAATACTGAAATGAAACTTGATTAGCTTTTCTACTTATCTCATAAAAAATTATGATCCAAAATTTAGCTTTCGAACTTAACGAGAAGTGGTAATGAGTGAGGGACTGAGGGCTATGCCTTTTATATATACAATTCTGGCATGAGTTAAAAGCATATTTTCGCACGTATTTTTTATTATTAAATCTGTAGTACTACAGATTTAATAAAAAAAATATTACCTTGCCCTACTAATATTACCTTGTGCTTTTTCGTATAAAATTACATTTTCTAAAAATGATATTTTTATTAATATTTCATTTATTGTTTTCTTTCATAAATAATTGTTTTTTTATTAATAATATGGGATAACTTTTCGCAAAAATGTGGCACTGTTCCAAAAGTAATGAAATAGATGATTATTTTGAAAGTTCGAATGTTACTATTAGAAGATTGGATTCAAGAGTATTGCGTTTTCTAGCACGGCAGTATTATATTGCATCTTTCTGATATTAGATCATATCTTTTTGCTACCTGGGGTGTGTCTACCACTATAAAAATACAATTCCAATTCACTAGTGTATAAGACATGTTAACTCGAATCTATATTGGAGTGCCTCTTCCCGGATGAAAGTTGACATTGTCGATATGACTCTCCCCACAAATCTATAAATTTCAATGAGAAAAAATAAATAAATAAAACAATTTGAAACGATACTAAGTACATTGAACTAAAATAAAAAGTTTTAGATTTGGAATTAATCTTTTTTATTTAAAGAAGTAATACAAAATCTCATACTAGAATTTACCGCGCACTTGTTGTTTCACTTTCGACATTATTTACAATTTATATAAAATACTTCATTGAAATTTAAAACGAAAAATAAAATATTAATAATGCAAATTATAAAGAGAAAACAAATAACGGTTTGTCAATAAAAAATTTGGGGTCAAAATACTCCACCAAATCCAATAAAAGAAAAAGCAGAAAAAAGTTCCAAATTTTTATAAGATTTTAAAATTTGATTGCAATAAAAATTCCTACTAATGTTAAATACATTATAAATTACCATTTAAATAAAAGTAGCAATTTTACAAGTTAACACTTAACTTCATACCATAACGGCACATAATACAAATTGCAATAAAATGTCTAGAAAAAAAGCATGCTTTTAAATGTCCTCCTTTTATGAATTTTTCTCTACGTATGAGAATACATTGGTTTACAATCACGAGACAACGCTATTTTCAAGAAGGGAAGGAGGATTCACTATCTATACCTATATTGTAAGGTTAATAAACAAGGTAGATCAATTTTCTGCTTTATCATATTGTGGAGGTAGTAGATATCGACAATGTCAACCTTTATCTATGAAAAGGTACTCCACCATAGAATAGAGTTAACATATCTTATATACTAGTGAATTGGAATTATATTTTTGTTGTGGTAGATACACTACAGTACTCCCCCACCAGAATTATATCTGTGATAGATTTCAATGAATGGATACCACTCTAGTTGAGTCATTGCCGTTTTGTGAGAAGCCGAGAGAGCTGTATCAAGATCGCCGTACTTTTTGAGTGCTGTATTAAGTTCACGGTCGTGAACTCCTGTCTTGCCTTTAGCAGTCAAGTGTATACATTGTGTGTGATTGAGACTGAGAAGCAATAGCGTGAAGAGGACAATGTCGCAGGTCACAAGTAGCAAGTCAACTGTTCAATGTGGACCATCCATCGAAGTAGGCATGTTCAAATCGTAATGGGCGTTTCTGCCACAACGAAGGTAGGCGGGTTCACATCACTACCAAAGGTCACCAATGTGGGGACAGTAGCTATCGATAATGTCAACCTTCACCTATGAAAAGGTACCCCACCATAGAATCAAGTTAACATGTCTTATATACTAGTGAATTGGAATAATATTTTGTAGTTGTAGATACACTACACATATTAGTGAAATGGCAAGTAAGGAAAGGTCATTTCCTCAGCTCTGCTATTTTGTAAAAGTTAATATTGAATGCTAAACAATTAAAATGTTTTAACTATTCCAGACCATACTCTTTGTAAAATGAAACATTTTGTTGTGGTATAAAAAGCTCTTTTACTATATAAGTGTTCAAGGAATTAAATGATTTTTAATGTTAACTACCACATTAGTATCTAATATTGCAGTTATTATTATTTAGTATTATTTTAGAGTCATATATAGTTTATGATATTCATATACGTACAATAGTGAACACAAATATCTTTGTTTTTCCGCCAAGATAAAAATTTAAAAATGAAAATATCTAAGTTATATTTTTAAAAATTTTTTGCAGGATCATTGGCCCTTAATGGGTTAATGCTTATTTATAATTTTTTTTACAAATAAATTTGAGAGTAAATAAAAATAAACTTTCAAAACATCACATTTTATTTAAAACTTGATTAATAAAAGTTCTTTATACAGTATATAATATAAAATAGTAACACAAAAAATTCTACGTAAATTACATATAATACAAATGAATTTTCTAAATTCACAATTTTCTATAGGTTTAACAATTTTATGTAATTATTAGCACAAACATTTGTTTTTTTATATCAAGTAGTACTGATATATTTTTCCAGTTCCAATTCTTATTTAAAATCTCCGTTTCCCTCAGAGCATCAAGAAAGTAAAAATTTTCTAAACACAGAAGAGTTCTTTTCATTTGAGATATTACTCATTTTTATTCTCTATCACTTTCAACAATTTTTTAATTTGTAAAATAACCAAGTCAATAACATCAATAACAATATAGCAATTTAAAAAGGTTAACAACTTTTTCATTTAACTATTCAATAAAACAACCAAGTTACACTGAAATCTGTACTTGTCAACTATATGATCAAAGAACTGTAGGGATAAACTCGATTGAAAAATTTCATTGACTTCAAAAAATATGAAAATGGAAATAAAAGCGAACATATTTCATATGTTCAAAAGTCTGACAGGTCTTGAGAAATGGTGCCAATTTTTGAGCACTTGAAACATGTTGACATATCTTCATATTATTTGAAGCCAATTAAGCTTTTTCATCAAGTACACTTTGCTGTCTCAGTTTCTAGAGAATATTTATTTGACTGTAGGAATATTTTAAATCCATTCTCGTAATAAAAAAAAGAAATTAGGTAGTCATATTAAGTTACCACATAGTATAAATTTTCACAGTATGTTTTAATACTTTAAATGCAAATAAAAAGTTGATAGATTTTGAATAACTTTATTTAAGAATTTGCAAGTCTGATTAAAATGTTATACATAAAATAATAATAATTAAAAAAAAATTTAAAAAAATAGAACACTAATTACTGAACAAATTTTTTATTTTCAATGATAAGAATTAACTCACACTTGAATATAATATAAACTACTGTTAATATTTAAGCGATTTAATACCATTTAAGTATCTCTTAAAATTTTATTTTGAATTTAAGATTTTTTTTATAAGTTTTTCATGCTGAAAAAATTATACATTCTCATGACTTTCAAACTTTATTTATCATGAAGTAACAAAATAAGAAAATCAAGCTGAGAGAAAAGAACAAATGAAATTTATAGTATGGAGGGCTAAGTCTTTTAATAACAATAGATTGCATTTTTTTCCCTTTAAAGGTGGCCAACCTTTTTGGGAACAGTGCCCCTTTTTGAAGAAAAAAAATATAAAAATTCATGCAACTTTCAACATACTAAAAGAATAAAAAAAATTTAAAAAAATATTATTTACAGGTTGATTATGGGACTTTACGGAAATAAAACATGTAACTCTGAGAACAAGATTTAAAAAATAATATAATACATAAACAGCAGTATAAACTTAGGTTTTAGTTTTAACAAATATTTAAAAAGTTCAAAGAAAATCGAAGGGAGAAGTCTAGCTCTTTGTATACATAATTAGCAAAGGGAATTTGTGCTACACCAGAAAAACAGCTTACAAGAGCAGCATACTCAGAGCATAATACTAAAATTGAATGCATACGCACAAAAAGCAAAGAGATTGCCAGGAAGTATATCATCTGACATATCTATGGCTGAGAAGGTTGTCTCCCACCATTTTATTATTTTGTTCTATTGCAAAACGTGCAGCAAATTTAATAAACATGGATGATAAAAATGAACTTTCAAAGAAATATCTAAATAAGTAGTACAGTACTGTTTAAAAATAGTGCAAAAAATGCATTAATAAACCAATTATAAATAAAAAGAGAAAACTTTCCTTTTCTTCCCTTTCCCTGATAGTGGTAAGGAGGGGGGAGGGAGATGGGTGCAAACCAGCTTCAAACACCATTGCTGCTGTGTCCCTAAATGTTACTTTTCCCTTATACTCAGGAGCCATATCAACCCCTGAGGGGACAGGCTTACCTTATATCTACAGAAGCTAGCCTTCTTCCCCTTCTTTGGTTCAGCCACTTAGGTTAAATATAAAATAAAAATTAATAATTTGAAGCTATTAATTCTCAAAAAAATATAAAACAGCAATTAAGGAGGTTGTTGTATTACATCATCTATATTAGAACCAGTTCTTGAAGATAGTAACAAAATTAGGTGCTTTAGGCACATATCAGTTAATTTTGGTTTCATTAGGTTCACCACAGATAATATATTTATCATGCATTGAATTGAAATCTACTACAATTCTGACAGCCAAATCATGTAAATTTGGAAAATTACTCATTGGTACAAATGTCTAAAATTAAACATGATTTCAGTAGTAAGGGTTTTACAGGTTTAGACAAAATTTCTGTGGGATGTGTGCAATGGGCTGTCTATCCATGTCTTAGTTTTGCTAAAGTAACACTTTTCGTGTTACTCATTTTCATACAACCCATTTCCACCATAGATTAGAAATTTTTACAATTCAGAACTTGTAATTAGAATGAACATATGTTGTCATAGGATATTATTCTGCCGCCATGGGATAAATTACAATTATGTGTCGCTTAGTTTTCAATGTCAAAATGTAAAGCATACAACAAAAAAAAGAGAGAGAGAGAGATTAAAATAAGGAAAGCAAATAAAAAATTCCCATTATAAAATAAAAACAACATAGTTTAAGAATATCGAACATTGTTACATTTTGCCAAAGAATGCATTTTTTTTTTTTTTTTAAATTTCATAAAGAAAATTCATTTTAGATTCTCAGATCTAAGGAGCTATTAAATTATGTTACTTTTCACAGTTATAAGCAAAAATCTTTTTTATTAATGAAGATTTGTCTAACTTGAGTAAAGTTGAGGCTGTGGTATTGCATACTAATTTAAAGAAAGAAGTATTAGGTTTAAATAAATTTTCCTCCATAATCTATATTATACCAATAAATAACAGTAGTTAGCGAAAAATTAATTATTATGTGCACATTACTGTAAAAGTTTTTATGAAGACTTACACTATAATACTTAATACATTCATTATACATTTCAAGTGTAACTTAAATCACACATAAAATATTGTAAAATTAAGAATAATTTTGAAAGGCACAATAAGGGTGGGAATCTGCCACCTATTTTTTGTTAGATACTTTTACGTAATATATATATAAAGATAAAGTGAATTCATGATTGATAGAAAAATGTAAGAAAATTTTTTTATGATTGATAAATCATGTAATAGTATCATTTGTAAAAGGAACCATCCTGTTCTAAAAATTTATTGCTATATGGCAACTATGCCTGTCTTAGAAAATAAAAATTACAGAAATTTTTTTTGCTCCCAGTGTTGCCTATTACGCCTCTCAGTCTATGGAAACTCTGATCACATGGTGTTTCTTTAAGGGACAAAAACAAATTAGAAATGCCAAGGATGGAAAAAAAAAACTTTTATTCTCAGGAAAGAAGTTTTTTTTTTTTTTAAAAAAAGTTACGAAAATTCTTTGTTTTCATTCTCAGCTGTTTAAATTGGCATTTAAATTAAAAGAATCACAGCTTTTGGACCAGAGGCCTTTTAGAATTCTACCATTTGCTGCATAACAGCAAAACCCTATACAACATTATGGTGAATAATTTGATTAATTTTTTGTATTGATGATTTAAAAGCACGCTAAGAGATTAAATTTTGGTAGTTAACATTTGTTTCCAGAGAAATACCATCCAGTAATTTCTTTAAATAAATTTATACAGTCAAAAATATTGAATTTAAAAGGACTTTTTCTGAAGCATTGATGTTTATTTAATTTAAGTATTTAGAAAAAGTATTCATTAAAAATCGTTACTATTAATATGAAGTATATCAAGCAACTTCATTTAGCAATGCATATGCAATTTTACTTAGCAACTCCTATTCTTCCAAGCAATAATAAACTGTAAGAATTTTAAGTTTTAGTTGAGAAGTTTTATATTTATTTAGTCATCAGTTAAGGTGCACAATAGAAAGACTAACCAAAAAAAATAATAGTTACAAACAAGATCAATAACTTCTGGAGGCTGTTTGAAGTTCTCTTCATTCATTATCATTATAACAATTTTAAAAAAGAAGTAAGATGACCATCTTAAGCTTTGACTGAAAAAAGAAATGTAGTTGCATTCTTTCTTTTTAATTATGAATACCAACAACTGGAAGAGAGACTTTTCTACTTACTATAAAATCCTGAATGATACCATGGGGCTATAATGATTTTCAGCAATTTTTCTTTCAGGGCAATAAATTAAAAAAAAAAGTGAAGCATTCCTGTAACAATCCATTGCGAGTAGGGGGTCATGAAAGATTGGCTCCACAATTTCGTAACTAGCAGTATGATTTTGAATATGTGGTCAGCATTGTCAACAGTCTTTACTTCCCATACAAGCTAGTAGCCATTAATCTGAAATGGGGTAGGCTTCAAGGTTTATTTTTATTCAAGGAGCAATTTTGTTTTAGGAGTGAGACCTGTAGACAGATCTCTGAGTGTTTAATTACAATAAATAATCTTTGGCACTCAGCAATTTTAACATTTAAACAGGTGTAAAATTTGTTATGAGCTTCTAATATTTTAATTCTATTCAAATATTTTGAAAACTAACTAAATAAACCTACTTTTTGATTAACTTGCTTTTAACAATATTTAGTATGTTCTTGGAAAAAAAAAAACATTCTTATTATATAGAAAAAATATATTAAAATATTTTGTTCAAATTTCAATTAGTTGAATTTTTCAAAACTATTTTTTTGTTTCTAATGATGCTGAGTTGTTTAAGTTTCACTGTATTTATTTGGAAACTTCTGTCTGCACATTTTCCATTTAATATTTTAATCAGTTGAAAAGTTTTTCAAGTTCTTTGATTTTTAGAATATCTATTTGAAGTTAAAACTTTGAAATTCACAATCAAAATCAATCCCTTACCTTTAAAATTATATTTAGTTTCTATAATTCAAACGAAACAATTTTGGTAAAGAAGTAATGGGGATTTTCATTAACTTATGAACTTTGAAGTTGAGAATTACAAAATTAAAATTATAAAAAGTGATCAAATGAGTAGACAGTCAAGAGTAAAAAACAAAACACATTAAGGGTAAAACTTATACTTAAGTACAAAATTGAATTGATATGAAATTGAATTTAATGCATTCTTGGGTATTAGTTATTCACATGATTGCATATCTAATATATAATCAACTTTTGAATATTTCTTCATGTCAACTTTCATATTTCAGCAGTATTTGTAAGAGATATATCTGTTTCAGCTTTTAACTCAAGAAATCAAACATAAGAAAATAAAAATCTAAGTTTCTTTTCTACGAATGATAATTTTTAAATAAGTACCCAGCTCAAAACCCTTTTTACTCTCATTAGATTACAATCACAAGAAAAGGTAGCAACACTAACATTTGTAAAAAACAATTAATCATTTAAACTTTGTTTAAATGGAATATTCCTTAGAAATTAGCTCCATGCAATTAAAATAAAACACTCTCTATATACCATACAACAATTTCCAGAAAATGAGTACAGTAAAAGTACATCATAATGTCAATTCACTATAGCAAAATAGAATCATTGTTATAGCGAGCTTATAACAATAAGCAATTACACAAATGTTAAAATAGCAATAGAAAAGAAGTGTTATAATGTACTAGTGTTTTTGACACAGACATTCGTAACACAGAATATTGATTTCAATTTCAGAGAAGAAAAGAAATAAAAGGCCATAGTAGATAAGTGACACACAAAAGGCCCACGTGGAACATGATTCTTGGAAATAGCAAAAGATTTTTTATCTTGTAAAAAGGAAGATAACTTGACTGGTGGTTACCCAAAAATGTTTTATTGATATAAAGAATTAAGATAGAAGAAGAGATCAAGATGAAATGATGTTCATTTTTCACTTTTTTGTATTTATACCAGACAAAAATAAAAATGTCTTCTACTTTGTCCATTTTCATATAATTTGGCTAATTTTAACAGTAGAAAAACACATTGCAATGTTTATCCCACCAATTTTTTTTGTCGCGAATAACAAAATGCTACTAATCTTTAACTGATTATAAATATAAAATTTTTGTGTCTATAACATTAACATTTTGATAGTGACTTTTCGTAATAGTGGATATCTCACAGTATACCATACTCATTATATTGAGTTTTTACTGTACTTATCTTCGGGTATTTGTTTGCACAACAGCAATTTTCTAAGAGCCTTTCTCAAATGCACTAATTCAAATTATAAAAGAAACTTATTTGCTCTGAAAGGAAACATACAAGCTAAATTACATGCAAGACTGTCAGATTTAAACAAAATATTTTTCTAACTGATAATTTTCTTTAAAAAATTGAACCATTTCTTAATTATTTCTGCTAATGTTTATGGCGAAAGAACTTGCAACAGCAACAATAAAACATACAGCAATATAACAGTAATACATTTTTGTTTCATAAAAATAGTTTTAAAAAAGAAATTTTTTCTTCTTAAATTATAAGTTCTGATAGACTTTCAAACTAACTTTTCATGCTATGATAGACCAATAAGAGCTTCATATCCATAACAATAATTATGAAAATTATAATAAAATTCTACACTAATAAAACATAAAATATATCACGGCCAATACCAGAAAGGAGTTTCATTTATAAATTAGCATGTTAAAGATTTGTATCAAAACCACCCGCTTTAATACAATGATAGTTTCCTTGCACATAATGAAATAAACTTAGTTTCTCAAATGATTTTAAACTTCATTTATGTTTTCAGAAAATTTAGTGACTTTCACTAATTTTCTGGCCTACAAGAATATAAGTTCAGTAGACAATGTCCCATTTTTTACAGCAATGCCTACACATAAATCGAAATATGAAATAATAAAATATTTTTTTGCGTTAATATTGGAACTGTTTAGATATTTTTTCATTTATAGAAACATTTTAGAATTCCAAAGGTAGATAAGAAAAAAACTAACCACCTAAGAAAATGATTCACCTTTTATAGACTTAAATATTTTCTTTTGAATTAGGAATTTATTAAAGTATTTTAAGAACCCATACAAATTCTAAATATACAGTGGAAAGTCCCATATCTGGAACTGTCGGGACATCATCAAGTTCGGAATATAGATTTTCCGAATAACAGGTCCTGCACACATCAAAACATGTGTTAGCGTGATTCAATAAAAAAATAATGAATAGACAGTAATGATAATTAAGGTCAATTTCATGCAGCATTTTCTTATAGTCTGAATGACCTCTAAAAGATGTCTAGTATGATAAAATATATTTATAAAAAAATAAATGAGAACCAGCAGACAATTTGAAAATTTTTTTTAAGAATAAAGATAGATTTTTCTCTTATTTTTCTTTATGAAAAGAAGAATGAGATGAAAATAACATTAAAAACAGGGTATTCCAAAATTAAAGTTATCAGATTTAAGAGAAAAAACTAAAACAAGGAACAGAATTGTGCAGATTTTTTAAAAAAAATATGTATAGTTTAAAGTGAAACAAATCTACCTGCTGATTTTCTTTTCAAACACTAATATTCAGCCTCATTAATATTCATAGCTTATTCTTCTCTTCAAAGTAAGTTTCTCTTTAACTGCTCTTGTCTTTTACACAACTCTTTTAGTTATGCATATTGAGACAGAATAAATGTTTAGTTATCAGAGAAGCAACAGAAGTAAGAAGAAAAAAATAAAAAAATTTTCTTAACCAATTGTAAACATAAAATAAATAAATAAAACAATGCATACATATTTATGAAAAAAAAGTTTTGTTTATTTTGTTTGTTAAATAGATGCTTCTATTAATTACACGTCCCAAAAAGGAACTTCATAATGTATTTGTATAGCTTTAATTATTAGTTTCGGGGACTATATTTTCAATATCTAAATCTACAATTTTAATGTGATTGTATAACCTAGGTATAAACCACATTCTTTAGTATTGTTATATTTTTCTTTAAACTCAAGGTCTTTTGAATAATAATACATTAATTTTTAACCTTTTTTTTCATTCAAATGGACTTCAATAGCATGGTTTCTCTAAAAGTTGTTTGTTTTAAAATATGCTGAAACTTAATGCTTTATTGTATTTCTTATTTACTAATTTCATGTGGTGTAATTTTTTTTAGCCTTATTAATTAGAAATTAATAATGAAAAATTACTCATTACACTGTATAAACATTAGTTTATAAAGAATGTTAATAGAAGCATTTAGTGTTAGGTTTTTAAGTCAAGAAATTGTCTAAGAACCTTCATTAACTTGATTGTTAAGGAAAAAAAAATAATTATAACTATAAATAACTTTAAAATAATCTAGTAAGAGATATCTTTTACTTGATCTTCAGAGATATTTCCAAGTGATATATTCACTATAGAATAGATTCCGACAACTTTTCTACCATTCCACTGAATATGAATATTGTCTCCAATTCCAAAAAGAAGTTAGAAATTTGCAGTGATATACTTTTTAAATATGAAGACAAAAATTTTGAGAAGGAAGAAAATGATTTACAAAACAGATCTTTAACGTTTGTTCATTTTCTGAATAAAGAAATAAATTTTCCTTCCAAATAATTGAGTAATTTTAAAGATATTTTAAATCTCATACCAAAATGTTCCATTAAATGAGATCATATTTTTTGTGATAATTAGTTTCGTTTGAACTAAATAGTAAAATAAGCAATGATAAATATGTGACAAGAGTTATAACATATAAAAAAGAAAGCAATAATAATAATTTATTAAAAAATTTTCTTTAAAAAAAAAAGAAAAAAAGAAGACACACACAAAAAGGAAAAACTGATATTAAAAAGTAACAGTCATTTTTTTTAGCATATTTTTAGACAAATTGTTATTCTAGAAGCAAATGTGGTACATAACAATGGCAGCTTTTGAGCAGTTAAACATTTCCAAGGTGAATATTATGTGTATTAATATTTAAGTTATATTAATAAAATGCATTAATACTAATTGGCCAACAAATTAAATAACCAGTAAAAGACCAAATATGTACTTTGGAACTAATAAACAGCATAGTATAAATTGTACACAAATTGCAAAGTAAATATTTTAAGAGAAAATACTTTTATAAGTTACAGATTAAGAAATTCTGCAAGTATAAAATTTGCATAAAGAGAATACAATGAAGTTAAAAAATATTATTTTATTTGCTTAGTTAAATAATCACTCCTTAGCAAAAGATTTTTTATTTAAAAATCCTGAATGCAACATAAAATTGAAAAACTATATTACATGAGATTTTTAAGATTAAAAAAACAATTAATTCATTCACTTTGTAAAAACTAACAAACATAATGTCAACAAATTTCCCTTTATGCAAATTAAAAAGCACACTTGGTGTTTAATATGCATAGTGAACAATAAGTAATTTGATAAAAAATACAAGATAGAATTTGGCCATTTCATACAGAACAAAAGCAATAAGCTTTCCAATACATATGATCTTGCTATCACTTTAAGGTCACCTTATCACTCACTGAGGTGCTTTTTTATAGCTTTTGGTTATCACTAGAAATGTCAAAAGGAGTTAAAACAACTTGAACAACAAAACCACTTTGCAATTTGGCCTCCTCAATTTTCATTTTATCATGTAATAGTCTTCCCCCAAAATACCAACGTTGTCTTGCAGGATCAACAGCTTCAATATTTTGTAAACGTTTCTTACCAGCTAAGACTGTTTCTCCAGTACGAACTGCTACTTTTGTATCTTTACCAGATGTAGAGAGCCTAAATTTTAAAGTTATTTCTTCCCCACTTTCACTCCAGGGCTCACTTTCAGCTGCAGGAGATTCAGATTCATTGGTTTCTTCAACTAAATTTATTGGTACACTCAGGCAATAAACAGGTAGCTGATACCGATTTCCCAATTCATCATAACAGTCCATTAAAGTTCCTATGAAAACAATTTTATAATAAACAATACTACTAATAATCATTGAACAGCGATGATAATACATCTGAGAGAGAATCTGAGACAGTGACACACTTAAAATACGCACCATCTCAGATTTTCTTCAAAAAATTACCAGTTGTTATATACTTTGTCAAAAGACAAAATCTAAAATTTTTTGTCCCAAAGTTGAGTTGATAATTCTTTATGGACCCCCAAAGTTCAGAGCGTTGCAGGAAAATTTCAGCGTTTTTGCACTACATGGAAAGCACTCTTAATCAATTGAAGTTGAAACTTGAAAATTTTCAAATTTTACCTACATTTTAACTGTCATAACTCTTTGCGGCATAAATATCTTGAAATAATTTTTTTACCTTTAATTTACTCCATTATTAGTCTATCCAAAAAAGTAAAATTTATTGAGGCTGTAGCTTTAAAAAAATTAAAACATTTTTTTAAATTACCATGGTTTGGTATTTTCTTTCTCGAAGCAATTTACTCAAACACTTTACTTTCTATATACATTTCACCATAAAAACCAATATTTTTAACATTTTATTGTATATAATCTTGTTGGTTATCCATTTAAAATAATATTTTATTATCATTGACGTTTACAATTTGTATAAAACAGAAATACATAACGGTAATGCTGTAAAACATTTGTTTTGTAGCTACAAAATGCATGTGAATTATTTATTTAATAGTTCCTTGTATAACAGTTGGATGCCTTTTAAGCTTGGGACAGTAAAAGGATCCACACCGGATAATTGTATATATATTCATGCCTTATTTATGTAGTTTCGTCAATTTCTCTTCTTAATTAAACAGAGCTAGCTGAATTACTATATATTTTCCATATATTTGTTAATAAAAATTTATATTTTTAATAAATTTTGATAAGTATGAATTGTAAAAGTAGTTGTGCTTAGTTTTATTATCTAAAATTTCTTTTAGGACTAATCCAATAACTTCATTAATTTTGGTGTCAAAAGTTAATTAAACTATGAACAACAATTTTTAATTTTATACATGAAAAACACTGTATCTCAACTCTTGTTTGTGTCATAAAATTTTGCAGAAAAATAACATCAAAACTCCATTATTTTCATTGTTTCTGCTTTTATCACCACTTGTCTTCTGGATTATCAGAACAATACTTCTCTTGAGTCAAAATAAACTTATTAAAAAAATTCATGTATCTACATAAGATGAAATTGCAAGTAAAGTAAGAAACATGAAAAATAGTGCTGCTAAAGATGAAATCAACAATGATTTCAAAATTGCAAGCAAAAATATTAGAGAATACATGCAGCATATAATGAGAGGAGTTCAACAAGAAAGGCAAAGGCAGCTGCACTGCAAGAAACAGACGAAGAAACAGTCTTTTGGCTTCAATACTGGTCGCAAAACATTTTACCACAAAACTATCGTGAAAAGCAACAGGACTATTTTGGTAAAAAGGGCATGTTGATGTGTTTGTTACATTAATTAATGGAATAGTTGAAAAATCAACTTATTTTACTATTCTGGAATATTGTGATCAAGACGCATTGCTAACTTTGTGTGAGTCAAAGCATACGGTCGATTTTCAAAGCATGAAGAAACTACACATGAAGACTGACAATGCAGGCTGTTATTCTGGCAATATATGCAGCGAAAGCCAGTATCTGATGGTGAATTTGGGGTTAAAAATACTTAGGCATGACGATAATGAAACCTCAGAGAAGTAAATATCAAGCTGATCAAGAGAATGCAATTGCTAAAATATTTATTGGAACATATTTATGTGATGGTCCTGATGTAACATCAGCTAAAGATGTGTATGATACACTCATTTTAAAAGGAAGAATGAAAAAGACTAAAGTATCAGTTATAGAAATCAATAAAGAAAATGCTCAGTCGAAAGTGTTAAGTTACATGAAATACAGTCATACCATTCTGTGAAATTTGAATCTAACGATATTTTCGATGAATTATGAATCTAACAATATTTATGAAACATGAATCTAATGATATTTGAATCTAACAATATATAAAAATATTTTGAAATTGGTCCTGGAAAAAAAGTTCCTTATAACAACATAAAATTTAATCATAAATCGATTTCTCTTAGCCGTAAGTCTGTTACTTCATATTTTGTCCCGAAGACAACTGTACTTCTACATTTGAAACTGCAGATGAATTGTCTTTGCATATAGCAAGAGGAGAACATACTATTCCAAAATTACTATCAGGAGTGGACAAAGCTAAAAAATGTTTGCTAAAAAAATTGAGACAGTAACAAAAAAAAAGTAGACTTCCAAACTACTAATTTCCTTTTTTCAAATTGCTGGCACATCTAATAGAAATGAAAATTTCTCAGCTATGGTATCACAACTGGGAAGGGCACTGAAACCAAAAAGAAAAATCACGCGTCTGAATTAAAATCAAAAACAGTTTCTACAGCAATGTTTTTATAAAGGAGATGATACAGGTAATAAAATTTACTGCACAGAATGTTGTCAAGATGATGAGACGTGATTCAGTAGATGAAAAGAAACCGTTTTGCCCAGAATATCTTACGAATGAACAAGTGATTTCTTATTTCAGCAGAATAAAAGGAAAAGGTATAGATTTTGATACTGTGAAAGAAGATGAAAATGAATATGAAGACCATCTTTTAGTAATTGCAACTGAAGAAAATGAGGTTTGTTATGTTTTTAATTTTATGTTTTTTTTTATTTAATGTTTTCAACAGTTAACAATTTCTTAAAGAATATAATATAGCTTTTCAATAAATTTTGGGATTTTCAGAGAGAATATTTGGCAATAGATCAAAATTTTTGAAGAAAAGCAGGGTGGCCACTCAAATCAGATTTCAAATTTCCCTGATTTTTCCAGGTTTTCCAGATAAAAATCTTAAAATTTCCAGGTTTTTGTTTCTTTTTTCTTATAAAGTATAGGATGTGTACAAGAAAAGTGTCTATATTATAAAATATTTTATTCAAAATGTTATTTTTTTAACATATCATCTTGAAAAAAATAATTTATTTTGACAATTTTCAAGATTTTTTATTTATTTTTTAATGTTTTGGCACAAAATTTTGAATCAAAAATCATATATTGACCAACAAAGGAGCCTTTTTTGTTTAAAATTAAAATATGTTATAAGAGGTTAAAATGAAATAGAAAAAATTAGCATTAATGCAACAATTGTAAAAATTTGTCGACAAACATTACTCTTAGTCATTGTAAAAAAATGTGTGATTGGTTGGTTTGCTCAGAAAAAATACTTCACAGATTTCTTTGAATAGGAGTAGAAAAGCTTTCAGAAAAAGAGTGCGACATAAAATCTATTATCATAAAATTATAACCAACTAATGTTTGGAGAATTTTATAAAGTTAAAAATACAAAGATATTTTGTCAAAATAGAGAAAAAAAATAACCACCAAAGCATCGGAACAAACTTGAGCCATAAATGGATTTAGCCCAAGGACAGAATTTAAAAACAGAAGCTAATATCCTAATTCCCTTTTTCCACCAGAATCTTACCTAAATTTTCCTAAATTCCCATAGCGGTCAAAAGTTTGCACATTTGTTTAGCAACCGTGGAAGAATTTTATATGGCATTCTAGTTTAACAGAACTATAATGGAGCAAATTTTGATGCAAGCAAAGTATCGCTAAGTTGATGATATTTCAACTGTTTGGCGATACATTTCCGTCAAAAAAAAGTGGGTATAATGGATGAAATAATTTAAATTAAGAAAATTAGCAAATAATTTAAATTAGTGAAATTTGAAAAATCATCAAAGAAAAATTTCCAACTTTTCTTTAAAAATCCCTGATTTTTCCAGGTTTTTATCCAAATTTCCCTGATATTTCCAGGTTTTTTCCAGTATAAAAAAATTCCCTGATAATTCCAGGTTTTCAAGGTTTTCCAGGTGGGTGGCCACCCTGAAAAGGACAGTGAACTTCATCCTCATTCATTTTATGTAGCAATGTATGACAGAAGATTTTACAGAGGAAAAATTCTAGAAGACTGTGGAAATGATTCATTCAAGATGAAATTTCTATGCCAGAGAGAAGCACAAAAGTTTAAATGGTCGATATGTGATAACATTGACACCGCACATCGAAGCGCCATCTTCTTTGGTCCTATATAATTATCCCGTGTGGATCCTCTTAATATCCCAAGCTTAAAAGGCATCCAACTGTTATACAAGGAACTATTAAATAAATAATTCACATGCACTTTGTAGCTACAAAACAAAGGTTTTACAGCATTACCGTTATGTATTTCTCTTTTATACAAATTGTAAATGTCAATGATAATAAAATATTATTTTAAATGGATAACCAACAAGATTATATACAATAAAATATTAAAAATATCGGTTTTTATGGTGAAATGTATATAGAAAGTAAAGTGTTTGAGTAAATTGCTTCGAGAAAGAAAATACCAAAACATGGTAATTTATTAAAATGTTTTAGTTTTTTTAAAGCTACATGCCTCAATAAATTTTACTTTTTTGGATAGACTAACAATGGAGTAAATTAAAGGTAAAAAAATTATTTCAATATATTTATGGCGCAAAAAGTTATGACAGTTAAAATTTGAAAATTTTCAAGTTTCAACTTCAAATAATTAAGAGCGCATTAAATATGCCTCAATTATGTAAATAATTTTTGAAAGTATTTTTGTATATCTTTCAAATGACACGTTATTTACCATGGCAACTAGAAGGCGCAAGCTATAGTTAGTCGTTGAAAATTGCAGGGGTGATTGTGAGCCCAAGTCAAAATTCCGGAAAATTTATTGAGTTAAAAAAACAAAAACAAAAAAAGAAAAAAAACACAGTTTAAATTGAAAAAAAAATTAAGTTTTTTTTCCTTTTTCTCAATATTTCTTAGTTTACTTAAAATATATTTAAAATTTTACACATACCTATGATGACCTGGAGAAGTAATTAAAATTTACAAATATGTCTTCCTTTCTTGAGTTAATGATTATAACAACTATTCACTGATAAAAAATGAATATTAATCATGAATATAAGCTTATAAAGTAGATCTCTGACTCTCCCTTACAAACAAATAAAATAAACTGTGTTTTTAAGTTCTACCTTTGAAAATTTGATTTCCGGAAATTTCTGGGATCAATGATTTTTCGAAACGCCTGGACTTTCGATCTCCGGAAACTTCCGGATCACTGCTAGCGAAAATTCTGGATATCCGGATTTTTTCCGGAGTACAATCAGCCCTGAAATTGCAATAAACAGCAAAAACGCTTCTTTTTACGACCTTCAGGAGCCTTGTTGCAACAATTTGCCACAAACTTTTCACCCATTTTACAAAGTTAAACCTCCTTACTTTTCAGATATTTAAATTACTTGGAGGCACTCTGTTTGCGCTAAGAGATGTGGGTCATTGCTATTTCCATGTAGAGCAAAAACGCTGAAATTTTCCAGCAATGCTCTGAACTTTGGGGGTCCATAAAGAATTAACAACTCAACTTTGAGGCAAAAAATTTTAGATTTTGTCTTTTGACAAGGTATATAACAACTGGTAATTTTTTGAAAAAAAATTGAGATGGCATGAACCACCCCATAATGTTAGGTGTAACAGTTTCTCAGATTCTTGTTCTTAAAAATTGATTTATGTGATTTAAAAATCAAATGGCATTATTTGTATTCACACATCTTTAAAATTCAATACCATGATTCATATTCATGCACCTTTAAAATTAAATCGTAAAATTTATATTCAGGAGACTTTAAAACCAAACATTGCGATTTGTATTCACGCAGATATAAAATCAAACTTTGCATTTCGTATTTACACTATATTTGAATAAAACATAGCAATTAATGTGAATTTAAAATCAAACATAGCTATTTGTACTCACACAATTTTGAAAATAAACAAATTTGATGGTACAGTCGTATTAATTTGAAAGATAAGAGTAAAAGTGAAAACTTTTAAAAAAAAAAAAACATTTATTTTAGTTACATAATTTAGCTTTCATTTGTTTTATACGTTATTAAATTGAGTAATATTAAAACTTTATCAAATATGTTTCATTTTTTAAAAAAAATTTGCATTTCCCCCTTGCTAGCATTCATCTTCCACCCAACTTGGCAACAATTTTCATTAAAATTCAGGTGAGGACTTAATCAGTACTTTACGATAGTGAGAAGTCAAGTTAAGAAATGCTTGGATTTAGCAATTGCAGCAGTAGCTACAAATTGAACTAGCAGCTTATAATATAAAGTCATAAGATTATCATGCAAAGTATTAGTGCATGATTGGTCTATCTGAAGTGAAAGATTTACTCTAGTATTAGCCAGCATAAAAACAGTAAAGTTACATCTTGGAAGATTGCATTTACTGAGCGTCAAGCAGTTTTAATTTTCATTAACAACCTCTGAATCAGAAAAAAAAAATCTGCTAAGGTTCCCACGATTTAACTGTATGACAAAAGTGCATTTTAAAATGATATTACGAGTATTTACATGTTTTAGGATATTACGATTTTATACATCACATAAAACTTAGCATTTCTTTAACTCACTCTGCCTGTTACTATTTTTTTTCACAAGTTGAAAAATATTTTGATAATAATGGATGCAAAATCCACTGAAAAGTATTAGTTTGAAGAATCATTTTTATGCTCTGCATTATAAACGGCTCACAAGTAAACTTACGTTAATCAAATTTGAGTATTACTTATTTCAAGGTACACACTCAGTTCTACTTTGAAACTAATATATTTTACATTTTCAAGTGACGGACTTGACACATTTGCTTATGTCCTGTTTGCTCTTGCATTCTGATTAGTAAGTGCTACTAGGGGTTGCAAATGCCCCGAATTAATAGGTGTATTAATGTCGATTTCATTCTTTTCATCATAGTTAACTTTTCTATTTAAATTTTAGTTGTCTTGTAATGTGCTATTAGAAATAAAATTCTAAAAAAAAGGGAAAAAAATTTGTGCGCTGATAAGCTTCTTTTTTCTAAAATATTTCAAATTGAAAGGAATATGATCAGTGTAAAAAAGATAATTATATCTTACCTGAAAATAGTTAACTAAAAATGATACCAACTTAAAATGAAGAAGATACTTTACAGTAAACACATATTCTCTGTAGTACTATTCAATTTCATAGCAATAAAATTAAAATATAAAATGAAGCACGTCTATTTTCCATAATTCAACCTCAATTGCCATGAACACTAATTGATAAAATATATAGAACATACCTGTTGGGAGAGATATATTGGCACCATCAATTATTGCCTGAGCAAGAGCAAAATCATTAGTTTCAGCAGCATAAGCAGCAGCTTTTAGTGCATCCCATATTTCTTTTCGTCCTTCAAAAGCAGGAGCAGTATCCCAAAATTCATCCCTTTTACTATGAAGCTGACCACCAGTTAAAGGCACATCACTTTTCCATTTGGGCTTCTCATGCTTTAGAGGTTGATTTTTTCCAATAGTAACTAATAAAGTATCACAGCATATTAATTTCCATGTAAAAGAAATCACATACAGTAAAAAATTGGAATAGTAATAGGGATTATAAAGATTTTAAGTCAATTTTAATGCTCAAATCTGATAAATCACAAAATTCAGATAATTGATAAGTAAATCAATAATTTTATTTAAATTGGCTCCTATTTCTAATTGTGAAATAGCAAACATTACCACTTAAACCTGGCTTTTGAAATAATCTATCTAACTCCTTACTTCGTTATTAAAAATGTGTCATAAACTGTTAAATAGCAGTCATACAAAATTAAAAATTCTTCTAGATCTATGTTCTCGGTATTCTACTTCTAGTCTTAGACCGCTATTTTATAGGTGGAGAAAAAATGAAAAAATAGTACTTATATAAGTGCAACCGGAGAAAGAAAAAAGAAAAAATTAGCAGAAAGAGTTTCAAGCATGCAAATTGACCCGAGATGGACATTTGTCATTCAGAATAATGAATAAAGACTAATGAATAATTATTCAAAATCTTTCGGAATAATAAATTAAAATTTATTCATTCGTCAGAAATATTTTAAATTAAGAATAAATTCAAAATAAATAATTTTTCGAAATACTGCTCAACAAAAATAGGTACAAAATCAAATAAAATTGTAAATTACAACAAATAAAAAGTACATAACAATAAACTACTTGTAGTCCAACAATCACAAGTAATCACACTTACAAGTAAAATAATAACTTTTGATAAAAAGCAGTTACTCATAAAAAAGCGATTAGAATCTAGTACTACAATCAGATTTCGCCAAGGAAGCCTAGCTCGAAACAACACAGCTGTTTTTTCCAGATTAGGCAACTTGAAAAATACCCAGTTGTATCTTGCTCATAATCATGATTACAAATAGTTAGTTACTTTGTAATTATTATCTTCAATGAAATACTTTTGTAATAAATAACTGTAGTTGGCATGCAAAAATTAATGAAAATGACATAATAGGTGCATTTTGTACCAGTTATTCAAAAATTCATACACTAAAAATAGTCAAGACTAATGAATTTTATTTGTCAATCAGTGTTCAAAAATTTGCATGAATAAAAACTAAAATTTGAACATGAAAAATCATTTAGAATAAATTTTTCTAACTAAATTTAATCATGAATGAAATTTTCATTCTGCTTTCAAAAATATTTATCTTGCATTTTGAAATAAGATGAGGATTAAACTAAATAGCAATTTGTTAAAATAACATGGTTAAAAGGAAAAAGATTCAGTTTGAAAGCTGCCACAGTATTTTTGATAATGACTTCTGAAAGCAATGTAAGGAGAAAAGTTAATATATATANTATTGCTCCAGAAAATGGAATTATGGCTACAGCTTCATTAATGTCTTCGTTGAAAATAGTGACAGTGAAACATTTCTTAATATTTATTTTTCTCATTCTTATCGTAATTTTAATTTTGTACAGAAATTGATTTCAATGTGATATTTAAAAAACTAAAACTTAAAATCACTGGCGTATTTTGAATTAGAGTCTTACAGGGACCAAAAGCACAATTCCATTTTTATGCTTGTAACATTTATTATAACATAGTTATAATTCCCAAGAAAACAAACACTTGGATTTAAGAGGAATTTTACACAAAGAAAACACATAAAGTGAGTGATCAGAAATTTGAATACCAATATCATGTTGAAAATATAGAGACCTACAAAATCATGTGGTAAGTCACATAGCAAATTGTAAACAAAGAAGAAAACAATGAAAAATACAACAATGACAACCAAAGCAGACATGCAGCCCCGGAAGTCATAAAAATAGTACAAAAACTTTTCTATCCAGAGAGCAAGATAAAATCCAAAATTTGCCAACAAATGAGCCAACAACAAATGAAAAAAGACAAACACTCCTAGTCCATAACATCATTGACCTAAGCTAGAATGCATGTTACGTCACCAAAAACGAGTTTCACAAAATGGAAGATCTAAACTTTATTACAATCGATCAAAATATGATTAAAAAAAAAATTGCTTTATTATAGATAGATTTAATATAAAATAATAATTTCATGATACATGAATACCTGTAGCAAATATAAATTTCATGAAACCTACTTATAAACACATTCCACTGTCAAAACCGAAAGCACACCACACTCAGAAAATCACAAACATCACGCCCTTACGCAATGCACCAAAGAAAATGTTTAAAGAAAAAAGGAAAGTAAGAAAATTTTTGCCATCTATTAGAAGAAAAGCTAAACTGGGGCAACTCGGTTGAGTCACCATCTAGCCCTTATTAAAAGAAAGAAAATAAAAACTAATAGTTTTTAATCATTTCTTTAATTGTACCATCAATATTGTAAAAATTAAAAGGAAAACCATTATTTTCAAGATTATTTAAAAAATTACTAGCAGCCTTTTGAAAGTATTCAATATTATTGCAAATTTTATTAATTCTAGACAGTTGTGAAAAAAATAAATTTTTAGAAATATTACTACACAATTTAGGTTCAAAATTACAGAAAATAACCATGAAATTAAAAGCCTTCCTTTTGTCATTAACACCGATTTTAATTAGTTTACAAGCAATATTAATTTTAAAATCTAAATAATCAACATTTAAGCAATATTCATTAGTTCTCTTCAAAACCAATTCTTAAGGATAAATATTAAAATTAAAATCATAATGTTCACAATTAAATAAAATTAAATCCTCAATATATCTAAAAGCAAGAAACTCAAAAAAATTTGCTTCAAAAAAATATTTGCAAAAACTCTAGAAAAATAATTACCTTGTGGTATCCCTATTTTTTGTTTATAAAAATCAATGCCACTAAAACAAACATTTTCAAAAAAATAAAATTTACAAATTTCAACCAAATGAGTCCCTCAGTGGATTGATCGTTAAGACACGGTTCCCAGCAGATCACCGAAATCAAGCATCACTGGCTACGGTCAGTGTGCGGGCGGGTGACCACTTGGATCAGTCTGCGTAGGGACCGAGGGTGTGCAGTATTGGTTCTCGTTAAACTGTTCTACCATAAAGTGCTAGACTTCGCGTGCAGGCTGTTGGGCTACCGAAGCGGAGGCACCATCCCCTCTGCTGATGATCAAAATTGTGATGGCACGTCTTCGGATCATCCTTGGGGATGTTTCCCAGACCGTCGCCAATAGCCCATTGTGCAGCTCTAGGGTGACGTAAATGAACTACAACAGCAACCAAATAATTTTTATCAATACTTTCATTAATTAAATATTTATCATAAAATGCAATTACATATATCAAATATTTGAGCATAAGGTAGACTGGTATAAAGATTTTCTAAGTCAAAAATATTAAAATTAAAAACTTTACAAATTTCAATACAGTTCAAAATATCAATATTACTATTAATAACAATATTTTTTTCGCTTTTAATTCTAAGCAAAATAATTTTAAGAATATTAAAGAATTTTTTGCTAATAATAGATTTATAACTATTAGTACCACAAGCTATAAATCTGAATTTAAAGCAATTTTCATGAAATTTAACAATTGGAAAAAAATAAGAGTAAGTAATTCGATTCAATTTAAATTTTTTACTAAAAGCAATAATCCTTTTAATAACTTTTTTGTCATCCTTTAATTTAAAATAAAGATTATTAATGTTATATTCCTTAACAATAAATTTTTTAAAAAAAAAATATTTGCAATAATACAAAAGTATTTAAAAGCTTCATCAAGCATATCATAATCAATATCTGAACCACTAGGATAAAAACAAAATTTAGATTTCTTTAATTTATTTTTCACACTCCTGGTTCTCCATTCTGTAAAACTTTCAATAGGCCAATGATATTTTCTAGAAACTTTAGCAATAAAAATATCCAGATCCCTTTTAACTGATAAATAAAATCATCTTTTCTTGTTCTAAATTTAGATCATCTACTCAAAATTTTAATCTAATCTTGAACTCCAACAATATCTACATGCTAGGTGATAACATGACCATATTCTTTATCAATAAACAGAGAAAATTCATCAGTATTATGATAACAAGTAATACTGATCAGTGCAATATTATTTAATTGGCGACTTAAAAAGTTACAATTACAAACTTTTTTTCTAAGAGTAGAGGGACATCAGAAACTTTAAGTTTCTTTAAAAGGAAAAAATCTGAAAAATAATGAACAACCTGTGAAATCTTAGTATTCTCAAATTTTTTATCGTGGAAGTTAATAATGCAAAAAACTTTCTGAACTTTAAAATCATTTTTAAAAAGCAATTCTGTTTGATTAATACCAAGTTTTGATTTAACCAAATCAATAATTCAAATAAATTTTCTCCATTTTTTTAAAAAATTTTTTTATAAAGATTGTGGTCATGTTATTACCTGGAATTTAGATATTGTTGGAGACCAGGATTTGATTAAAATTTTAAGTAGAGGATCTAAATTTAGAACAAGTTTAAAAATTAAAAATGATGATTTTATTTCATCAGTTAAAAGGGATCTAGATTGTTTCATTGTTAAAGTTTCTAGAAAATATCATTGGCCTATTGAAAGTTTTACAGAATGGAGAACCAGGATTGTTGAAAGTATGAAAAATAAATTAAACTAACCTAAATTTTGTTTTTATCCTAGTGGTGCAGTTATTGATAAAGCTTTGAACAACTTTTGTATTGCAAATTTTTTATTTTTCTTTAAAAATGTTTATTAAGGAATATAATACTAAGAATACTTATCTTATATTTAAGGATGTGGTACTAATAGTTTTAAATCTATTATTAGCAAAAAATTCTTTAATATTCTTGAAATTATTCTGTTTAAAATTAAAAGTTAAAAAAAATTATTATTAATAGTAATATTGATGTTTTGAACTTTATTGAAATTAATTTGAATTTGAAGTCTTTAATATGAATGCATTTGACTTTGAAAATCTTTAAACCAGTATACCTCAAGCTCAAAGACGTGATATATATATGTATTTGCATTCATGATAAATATTGATAAAAATTATTGGATTGAAATTTGTAAATCTAAGCTTTCTGAAAATGTTCTTTTTAATGGCATTGATTTTTATAAACAAAAAATAGGCATACCACAAGGTAATTCTTTTTCTAGAGCTTTTGCAGATATTTCCTTCAATTTTTTTTTTTTAAATCAAAGTTTCTAGAGTTTAATGCTTTTTGATATATTGAAGATTTAATTTTATTTAATTGAGAAAATTATGATCTTATTTTTAATATTTATCCTGAAAATTTGGTTTTGAAGAGAACTAATGATAATTGCTTAAATGTTGAATATTTAGATTTTAAAATTAATATTGCTAATAATTAAATTAAAATTGGCGTTTATGATAAAAGGAGGGCTTTTAATTCTAAGGTTATTACTTTCTGTATTTTTGAAACTAAATTGTGTAGTAATGTTTCCAAAAATTTAGTTTTTTCACGACTGTCCATAATTAATGAAGTTTTCAATAATATTGAATACTTTCAAGAGGCTACAAGTAATTTTTTTTAAATAATCTTGAAAATAATGGTTTTCCTTTTAATTTTTACAATATTTACAGTAAAATTAAAGAAATGATTAAAAACTATTAGTTTTTATTTTCTTTCTTTTAATAAAGGCAAGATTGAGACTTAACAGAGTTGCTCCCGATTAGCTTTTCTACTAACGGATGGCTATAATTTTCTTACTTTCCTTTTTTTCCCTAATATTTTCCTCGATGCATTGAGAAAGGATGTGATGTTTGTGATTTTCCGTTAGGATTGTGATTTTCTGAGAGTGGTGCGTTTTTGGTTTTGGCAGTGGAATATGTTTATAAGTAGGTTTCTTGAAATTTATTTTTGCCTTAGCAATTTGTTTATGTATTTTGTATTAATTTTACTTTTGTATTTTGTTTTTGTATTCTCTTTTCCTGGACTTCTATCAAAGCCTTTGGGATATAGAGAGAGCAAATTTTAGACCTTTGTCTTGCTCTCTCAATAAAAAATGTTTTGTACTATTTCTGGGGCTGGTACCCCCTGACAATGTCAGTTCTTCAATTGTTACTTGATTCAATTTTCTTGTGGAATTTCTGCTAGATTGTGCAATTTACCTTTGAAATTGTAGTTTTTAACTTTTTACATGAATATTGATTTCTCTTTTTATTATTGTCATAAGACACACAACTACCAAGAAAATAAGAATAAAAATTTCATTTGCGCTGAAATTCATACAAATAAAGAACATCAACACTGACTACACAAATCAAAATTCTTATATTGTATAAAAAACAATGGGATTTTTTAAAACCGTATTGATAGCAGTATTTACTGAAAAAAAAACAGATTTACAGTGTAATCTGTGTAAATGTACACATCAATTATGCATCCCTCAAATGTGAGATTTAGAATTTCTGATTTTACATTAATTTCTCAAAATATCTGTATCAGACACTCCCTTGATTTGCATATCAACTGCTGGCGAGCTGCAGACTATGCACACTTTATAGAAACAAACAATGACCAGCTGAATAATTTAATAATTCTTTCTTCAGAAAAGGATACTGTAGCCAATTTAAATGCTAATTATATTGATATGAATTTGGGTGTTTTGATGAAAAGGCCTATATATAAAGTACCTATAATAAAACAACTTTGGTATGTAAGATAAATAAATACTATAAGGGTTTTTTCTTGGTTTGATCATATCTTGATCGATTGTAATAAAGTTTATATCTTCTATTTTGTGAACCTCGTTTTTGGTGACATAACGTACTCGTGCATTCAACTTACATCAATGATGTTATGGACTACCGAGTGTTTTGTCTGTTTTTGTTTTTTTCATTTGTTGTTGGTTGATCACGTGTGGCTTAAGGCATCATTCCTTATCTGTAGTAGGATAGTACTAAAGCTTAAGTTGAAGATGGTTACAATATATATTTTTACTTTTCGTTGTCGTTCCGTTACTCTATTTGTCAGAGTGTATCTGCTTTTTCAAGTTTGATATGCTTTCAAACAGTTTTATTCCATGGATACCTCATTTTGATCTTAATAAAAGTTAATATTTATTTACATTGATACTCTTGCGGCTATTTCAGGACTCAGGATAAGGTTATTAAAAAAAAATTTTCTTTCTTTCTCACTTCTCTTTAATTCTGTTTTACCGAAAATATACATCTTTTTACATCATTTACTATTAATCTAGTGATAAATTCTTTGACCAGAAATGTTCAAACTTTGTAAGTGATCAAAAGGAAATAACTCGGTAGATATTTCAATTTATCAGTAGGATTCTATCGATTTAAATTATAAAAATATAGCAAAATAAAACAAAAAATAAAAATGCATCATTTGGGTTTAAACTAAATTTGATGCTGGTAATATTGCCTTCCCCCTCATGAATGTTGTCATAAGTCACACGTGATCAACCAACAGCAAACGAAAAAAAATCTGGTAAAAAATTATTATTAGCCATAATAAATATGAAGTAAAAATAAAAAAAGTACAGTATAAAAATACAAGTGATCAATCAATTATGTTCGATAATCATTTTGATATTAAAATCTTTTTTGTTTTGACAGGTACTGTCAATTGGTTTTCGACATAAAAACCCAACCCTGACAGATGTTGTAACATACCGTCGATCGACCAATAATCAATGGCATCAATCAACAGGAGACACTAGCTAAATTCCGATGTTTGTTTACATTTGGTCTTTTTTTTTTCTAACTGTTTAGGAGAACAAACGATTTGTCACCAGGGGATGGAATTGTTGATTACTATCCTTTTACATCATAATGTATCCAGTCCTTAAACATCATAATTAAGGAATTAGCATATATTTATCTTTCTTAGTGATTTGAAAGGTTAATATTAGACATCTAGTTGTGGACATCAATAGCATGTAAATTATATGAACATAAATAGAACTCTTGTCAGTACTCCAATGCTTGCTATTTCTAAGCTCCTTAGCTTAGTATTTGCTTATTGATGTTTTTAATTGTTTTTAGATGGCAACATGTTCCTCTAGCATTGTATCCAGTTCAATTTTAAGTGCAACAATAAAAATTATGTTCCAGTTTATGTAAGTATCTGCTCCTCTTGACCTGCATTGTAATTTTGGCCTCTAGCAACAAGGATCATGCACTCTTTTGTAGTCAGTATGATGCTATTGTGATGAAAATACTTTTCATGCTAATGGGGAAAAGCATGTATAATGAGCCTGAACGACATAAGGATGTTGGTGAGGACGTCACAATGTATAAAACCTCCAAAAGCAAAAAACTTGATTAAGGAACAAATTTAAGTATGTTTAATCCTTAAGAAAACTCTGTTACAATTAATATAAAGACTAACTTTAGAGGAAAAAAAAATAGAGAATTAAAAGTTGTATTTGGAACATTTGCATCCAAGTGCATTAATGTAAAAGGAGAATACTTCATAACATATTAAACAGGAACTTAATTTACTGTCAAAAGTTATTAAATCACTTATCGGACATTGCTGGTTTAAAATTCCTTAAATATATTTTAAAATGACAAACATGAACACAATTCCTTAGGTGGAAAGTGAAAAGTAAGTTTTTCATGTCTTATACCTTTTTAATTAATTCTTTTATTTCATAGACTGTATTAGAAAAACAAGAAGAAAAAAAACATGCAGAGTATATTGATGCTCTAAAGAAAAGATCTGTGTTTTGTGAAATGCAGAAAGGGGCAGGATATATCATCCATTTGATGGTTAAGGTCATTTAACTTGAAATCTATTATTATTTGCATTGTGAAATTAAAATTTTTTAATTTCAAACAAATTTAATGATGAAGTTTTCAATCATAAAAAATCTATATATATTAAAAAAATTTAGTAGGAAATAATAATTTTAAACATAATAGGTTACAACATGATGCATTAAAAAAAAAATTAATAAATAATACTTTCAATGATTTACTCAAATTAAATAGGCTTTTACTGCCTGCAGTTATTAGGCATTCCTTACCTCGGACATTCTCTGCAGGCCGATGCTAAAACTAACTCTGAATTATCACAACAGTATTACAATAAATACTTTTAAGGCAATTCAGATAAACGAATTAAGTTTTAATCTAAGCGTGATAATGTAAAACAGATCACAACGAATATCACAAAATTAAATTGTCTTATTTACTTTATATTCAAAGAAAACTCACATCTTCTTAAAAACACGAAAACAATTTTTAAACTAAGACTTGATATGCTTAGGCGCTTACTTGTTTGATGTAAACTTGTACCGTCCAGAGATTCAATACCAGAGGAAGGTCTGCTTTGTTGTGTACCAAAACAACCCCCCATTATCACAGATGAGTAAGCATTATGTTACCATTACAACAAGAATGAACAAAATTGATAGCAGTTCTAATACATTTTAACCTGTTACTAAAATTTCGTTTCATGCGAGTTAGTGTTCCATGAAATGAATGTTAACTGTAAAAAGGAAATATAAGTAAGAAGAAAAATTTTTGTAGTTTCATTAATCATTAAATTTCTTTGCTTTCGAGAAGGAATCTCAGAATAATTGTCGAAAATATAAAAAATAAATATATACACCAAATATCTCTAGGTCCTAGAGAGAAATAATAGAGAAGTCATTTATTAGACATTTATAGTGACGAGGCACAAGAACACTTTTGGAAAGCTTTTTTCATACCCTTTTATGGTGGGATAATTTATATTCTTGAATTAGTGACCAGTATATTTAATAGACACATTTTCTTTGAAATTAAGCAAAAATAAGAAAACTTTAGCTTATATTATTAGTCTAGGCTCGGTAGGAAATATGTAATAGCTTTATTAAACTTCATAACTTAAAATCTTTTTTCTTCAGACTCAGATGGTTAGCAGAAACTAAAATCTACAGAAATAAGCAATCGAATGTTGTTTACAAACTGATTCATCGGCCACCGGAGAACGAACACACTCGCAGACCTTAGAATACCTGTAGGAAAGGATAGAGGACTTTGTTATGGTTTTTGTAAGTTGTTTGTAGATTAATATTCTTCGTTTGGCGGACAATTCCCTCGTTTTAGTGTATCTGCATAGTATCGGTGAAACTTATTTTCGTTTCACTGAGTTGGAAAGCGCTCACTCATAGTGTCAGTTCTTAGATTGTTTGATCTCACTGTGAGTTCTGTAGTTTTTATTTGTCTTCCCTTTCCTTCATCTCCCAATATGGAAGACGGAATAATGAACCGAAGAATTCCTATAGACTCGAACCGGAAAATGAAAATATCGACTGACATGCTAATTAATGACTCCATCACCTAACAACTTGAATTTATCGCGACTGGTGGTTTACGTCGTACTCCTTGATTTTTTTTTCCCAATCTTCTTCCTAAAAAAAGCCGAAACTAATAAAGGAAAAAATCACTGAGGCACTTAGTGGTCCCAATAATATAATTTCATGCTCTTGCACCAGAAATGCAGAACTTGTAATCAAAACTTCTAACTGTGTCACTGCAGTTTAACTTATTAAAATGTTTCCTTTAATGTTTGTCCAAGCCTGATTTATTTCATGGCAATATTATCTCTAAATTCTTAAAATAGGAGTATCACTGGTTATGATGTTAAATGAACTGGTTGTTACTCAATAATATGACAGTATTCGCCATGTCACAAAAAAAGCGTCATCCTCCCTCTATGAATTGTGGAACAACAAATTCAAAGGAAGTTTGACATTGCTGTTCCCTCGTTGAAAATCTCCCAGTGCCTTGTGACTAACCATGCCAGTGTATTAAGTGCTTCAAGTTTAATCATGCTACTGAAAACTGTTCTTCCTTGTATCAAATTTGCTCTTATTCTGTCTCAATATGTGACATAATAACAGTCTTATCTTATATAAACTTCACTGGGAATCATTTGGCTGAGAACAGGACCTGCCTATTATTGAGCCTATAAAGCCCAATTTCTTGAATTTAAATGAGTATCTAAATTTTTCTGAAGCTAGGTGTCTATTTAAGCCTTCAAACTCTACCCAATCTTATGCAATAATCTCAAGTCTCATTATGTGACTCGAGTCGAGGAAATAAGATCGATTATTAAATGTGTAGTATAGGAAGTTGTCATGTATATAATGGAAAGCTTGGGGAGATTTCTATATCATGATCTGTGGCAGAATTATCGACAAGTCTTGGAAACTAAGAAAAACATCACGGAAACTCCAAAGGTATAACTCGTAGCCACCCCCGGGCAAACATCTACATGTTTTTTTTTATTTTTAAAAATGCAAGTTTAAAATTTATTTAGCATCTTGGCAATTGTAGTTGGCAAGACAGATCACGATACAGAAATATCCCTGAAAGCTTAATACTCCAACACCACTTGAAGACTCTTTGTTGGAAAAATTATTCACTATTTATTGACTATCTCTCTGCCCGCCTAGATGGCTTTGCATCAGAATCATCATTTTCACAGAAGAAATTTTGGCCATTTAATGATCCTGACATTCCTTCACAAGCTCCTGAGCCCAATGTACTAAAATATTTCGAATTAAAAAAATAATGTGAAGGGAGTTATTTTCTATAATAACAGATGCTTCAATAATTAATCCATAGGAACTCATTTTATTCATGTTATTTATAACTAAAAAAGTATCCAATAATTTGATTATAAAGTTATGTTAAGTTAATAATATAATATGTTATACATGCTCTAGGGTCTTTCACATTTGAAATTGTGTGGCATAGTTTTTTTTTATATTCTTCATCATTCCATTTTTAAAATTATTTTCATAGCAAGTTTAACTGTATCCAATCTGTCTCTTTTGGGTTTAAATTATTTTAATGAATAATTTTTTCTTTTATTTCCATTGATTTTGAATCTATTCACACGAAAAAATATTTGTTGTTGTGTGAATGAAACTTTTTGAAAAGTTAGTTAATTTTATTTGTATAGGCACTTACGTTTAACATAATTATTTTAGGAAAGAAATTCTGAGTTATATACTTGAATTTAAAAAAATATCTTTGCATTAACTTTTTAATGCCAAAACTACTTTGCAGCCAGTTTTAAAACCTAAGATGATTATTAGAATAAAAATGCAATATATGTTTTTTAATTTTTTTTTGGGTCCTTCTAGCTTAGAGACAACCACATTGCAAACTATTATTAGCTCTCTTAAGAAGTAAACAATTAGTTAATTCTCAAAAATGCTGTAAGTAAACAAACATGTCTATTTGTCTACATAGTTTTTTTTTACACTTTTTCAAAAATATAAGACATTTAAGATTTAAATCAGAGTTTACCCGATTTAAATCACAGCCTTTTTAAGGAAATCATTGATTAAATCAAATGATTGTTTTATAAAAAAAAAATCATTGATTTAAGTCAAAAATATTTTTTATTTAAAATTATTTTTTCTTAAGGTTTTGGTTAATAACTATTTATTAGCTGTCTATATAAAATAATTTGCTTTTTAATAAATATATTTCAATGATACCCCAATTTATTTTTGGGTTTGTTTAAAAACAAATACTTTAAAAACTTTTTAAACATGTAGTTTGTGTACGTGAAAAATGAAGAAAGACTTATTCTACCAAGAGTAACTTAAAATAATATTTTTTATATCTAAATTAATATTCATTTGATATCTAACTGACAAATTGGGTTTTAGTCTTTGCAAATTTATGAACGTGTTGAGTCTGAATAGAAACAACTATCATTTTTGCAGTAATTTGTTTGTTATAACTACTTAATTGTTTTAACCATTTTAGTTTAAAATTTTAAGTTCTGAAGTTAAAATATTGTTTTTAAGAAGTATTAAGCATTATCAATATATTTTATTGGAGTTTTGATTGGTTTTTTTTTTTTAAAAAAAAAAAAAATTCTGATTAAGTAAAAAAAATAATCTAAATTTTTGCCGAGCCTGATTTAAATGTAGTATGAGCAGTGTTGACAGTGCTAAATATTTTTTTATCATAGAACTTGTGTTCAGGTCTAATAGAGGAGGAAAAAAAAACTTTGATTCACCTTTTAAATTGAAAGTTTTGTGTCCTGAGGTAATGTATGTGTTCAAAAGACACAAAATATAGCTACATGTCATACTGAGTTTTATAATAATAATCCAAGTTCACAAAACTCTACATTACATGCTATGGTTTATTTTTAACATAATGGAATAGCTTTCAGTGTAAATAAAATGTCAAGTGACATTTTGTGAACACTATCATTTTTGGAACAATGTGTTGTCCATTGTTGGTTATAATATACTAATTACTTTATGCTGCAAAAGTCTTTAAACAAGGTGGTTTTCTTTGAAATAAAAAGACGATGTGCAAATCGCTTCCTGTTGTTCTAGATATATTCATATATTCTTTGACTTTTCGTAATTTAACTGAAATGTCTCTTAACATTGTTTTTCCCAAAATATGGCAAACTATTGTTATTATTCAACACCAGCTTTTTTTTCTCTTCAATTTTTTTTGTTACGTATTTATAATTTGAAGTGGAAATAGATTTATTAACAAATAAAAGTTTCAGATTTTTTCAGTTATCATATTTTATTACTCATATATCAGTTTTGACACATTGTATTACACCCCTGAGTATAAGCATTTTATAAATAATATATAATAGTATTGTAATAATTTTGGTATAAAATTTACATTAATTCGTTTTGATCTATATGAGTTACAGATTCATAAAATAAATATATGATAAACTTATCTATAAGTAAGAAGCTTTTGATAAAATAATGTGCTTGTAAGCAAATTAATGTCTGTAAGTACACATTAGTTAGATCTTTCCAATGTTTTTTTTTTTAACCAAAACACAACAAATAATGAGATAATATAACGCACACCCTTTCTAAAACATGCCAATTCCTGTTACCAAGCGTGAAATATGTGCATTTAAAATATAAAAAGAGCAATTAAATCATAGCATATATATTTGCAATTAACAGAGAGGAGCAGCTCGGCATAAAATTTCATCAGCCATATTTGGATCCAACGGACCGAAAATGTTTCTGCTCGGAGTGTTTGCATCCAAAGAAGTAAAAAATTCTGTCACCAACTCTTTGAATCGTTCTAGAGATATTCCACCTCTTTTGCGATCATCACTCTAAAAGTTCAAAAACAAATTATTGATAACAAAATTAAATTGAATTTCACTGAAGAAGGTTCTTAATGAGTGCCATATTCTTAATGCTTTTGTTACGGAAAATTATGCAAGTTTGCAAGAAAATTATGCAAATTAAAATTATATTGAGAAATATCCTGTATGGGACAATTTAGAGCCACACTTGCCGAAAAATCTGTTCCATAATACGGTGCAAATTTTCTGCTACCTTCATTAAATTAAACCATGCATTCAATTTGAACCCTACTATTGTAATTAAGAAGTACAATTTAATAACTTAATTTAGAAACATATTAAGATTTCACACAGCAAAATTTCTAAAAATTTAAGAGTATGTGTAGAATATATATCTATATATATATTAAAAAAGAAAAAAAGCCAGGATAGACTCTTTGGTTGGGTCTGCGGCGTAATTACCACTACAAATATTAAATACAAATTCACTAGTATATAAGACATGTTAACTTGATTCTATCTTGAGGTACCTTTTGATAGCTGAAGGTTGACATAGTTTATAAATAAATCCCTTCATTGGTGACCTGTGGACGTGATATGAACTTGCTAACATGATGGATGGTCCACAATAAACAGTTGATTTGCTTAATATAAAAAAACTGCTCTAAGAAGAAGAAAAAAAGAAAGAAAAAAAAATCCGGTGAAGTAAATAAAGTCTCCCGGTTATAAGCAATATAGGAAGGGAAAAAAAATGAGCGAAATGCTATAAACAAAATAATGAAGGAAAAATATTAAAAAAAAATAAAAAATTATGAGTGAAATGCTATAAAAAAATGAAGAAAATATAATGAGCAAAATTAACTAAATATATTAACAGCATGAATCAACTAGTGGTAATCGTTTATCGAATTATATCACAGATAAAATTCTGGAAGGGGAGTAATGTGGCGTAACTACCACTATAAATATTAAATACCAATTCACTAGTATATAAGACATGTTAACTTGATTCTATCTTGAGGTAACTTTTGATAGCTGAAGGTTGACATAGTCTATAAATAAATCCCTTCAGGTCAATGATCGAACCCCACCTGCCGAAGATTCCCGTGTGCAAAATGGTGACTGATGCACACTAAATCGGTCGGGAGCACAATGTCCTCCAAGTCCCCATAATAAATCAATACCTCTAGGGGTACTGGATCTTGATTGATTGTGCTCTGGTTTAGGTAAAAATTACAATCTGCGGATGGAATGTATCCTTCCTGTAAAATGGGATGAGACGTTAGTATGTTGTCTCCGGTTTATCTCAGAGATGTTTCTTAGACCATTACCAATTTCTCATTGTGCACCTCTAGTGCGACGTGAGTAAAAAGTACAGTAAAAGGAAAGTTTTCTGTTTCTATTTAAATAAAAAATTACGTTTCTTAGATACATAAAAATTTTAAGTTTTATAATTCCATTAACTAATCAGAGGCATGATTAGATAAATGTATTTAGCACTTTTGGTTTGCCAGTAAAAACAAGCGAATCATTCTCATTAAAATCTCTCGTCCTTAAAAAAGTCATAGCACACTCTGCTATTTTTTTACTCTTACTGCACTAATCTAATTTTAAGAATTTAACCTGTAAAAGTCTGAAAAAAAAATATTTAAAAGTATATTTGACTTGTTTATTTTATTCTGTCTGTAGTTACATTAAATATCTACATTGGTAAGATCTGCTGAATTAGCCTCATTCATCAATGGACGACACGCAAAGCCTGTTTGTTTGTAAGAAATGTTTTGTAAATATTTGCCTTAATTTTTTTGATATTCGAAACCAGGAAAGAGGTTCAATCAGTTCTGTTACCTCTTTGTGCGAGAGAGAAAAGAACCCTTCAAAACTGGTATTAGTTTATATTTGAAATAAAGTTGTGGCAAATATTAATATATATATATATATACACACACACACACACACCAAAGAGCCATTACATTATGACCTACCTGCTAATAACATGTAGGACCACCTTTAGCCTACAAAACTGCTAGCACCCGCCGTGGCATCGATTCCACAAGGTGCTGATAGGTAGTCTTCCCTCACATTGCGAGGGGGTAGCGTGGCAGCACAAATTTGGTTTTCCAAGTTGGACCACAGATGCTTTATTGGATTAAGGTCAGGTGAATTTGGGGGCCAAGACATGACTTGAAAGTCACTGGAATGTTCCTCGACGATTTGACCCTTATGACATGGTGCATTATCCTGTTAGTAAACACCATCCTCCCCCCCCGCAGGAAAAACTGTTGCCATGAATGGGTGAACCTGGTGTGCAACTATGTTCAAGTAGCTTACAGACGTCAGGGATTGTTCTATAAGGATTATGTGCCCCATGAAAACATTGTTCCTGGGCGAGAAACCATGAAAACCAAGGAGAGCCCATTGTTATAGATGGAGGGTGGTCATAATGTAATGGTTCTGCGGTGTATATATATTTAGAATTCTTGAAAAAAATCAGGAATAAAAATATACTCTATTGTGTATAGCTGTTAACATAGTGTTGGTGTACAATAAAAATTTTATATTTTTGGAAGAGGAATAGGTTGAAAAAAACCTGTTTCTATATCTTGTTAATCATTTGGCACTGTTTTTTTTAATATTTTAAAAACAATATGATAATTAAATAAAAATAATTTATTTAATTATCATAATTTGAATAAAAATAATTTATTTAATTATCATAGTTTAAATAAAAATAATTTATTAATAACTTTTTCTTAAAAGTACTTACACTCATCATTGAATCAAAAGCAGTATCAATTTCCTTGAGTTCAGTAACATAGCACCAAATGACAGAACCAAACCGATATTCATCTTTGTCCCACATCATGTCACCTGTGATAAAATACATTTAAATTTAAAAGATAACATAGGGATGGTTTACAGTTTACTCCTTTAAATGACACCTTAAAAAGACACTATTCTGTGGAAGAAACCTTTCATCTGCGTAAGTAATTTAAGGTAATGAAAAAATTAGTTTATGTAGTTTCCAATATTGAAAAATAATTAAATATCAAAATGCAAAAGAAATATGGCTGGATTAATCAGTGGGGAAGTTATCCTTGTACTTTATTTGCATTTTGATATTTTGAAAGTATTTTTTTCAGAATTTGAAACTGCATGGTTCAATTTAAGATAAACTGTATTCACTTTTCTCTAAACGTTAAATTGCCAATGGAGGTGAAACAGAATTTGCCATAAAATGTTTGTCTTGCGGTATAGTGTACTTTTAAGTACCACATTTAGTATAAAAAATTTTGAACATGCCTCTCCATTCTCATTTGCCCTTACTCTGCAATTTGAAATAAAATTAGTCCCGCAGTGGACTGNCATTGTGCAGCTCTAGTGCGACGTAAAGTAACAACAACAACAAATAAAATTAAATTTGCCGTAAACAAAGACTGAAATTTTACGTTGCTAAAAGTTTAAAAAAATAGTATAAAATCAGAAACTAATTATTATTTTTTAATTTTCGGAAAATATTCAAATGCGAGGTTTTTTAAGTAAGCGCGTTTTGTTGTGTACACTAATATGTGACGCGTGCGTCGCAACGACAGATATTTGAAGATCAAGGGAGGGGGAAATGGTCAGTAGCGAGTATTCAACTGAAATCGTAACTATAAAAATATTCACAAATATCGCAAGTATTATTTAAACCCCCTCAAAATTTCATAAGATTAAAAATTTTTGACGTGGAGAAAAAATAAAATTTTAAATCGGCTTGGTCAAGATCCGTTTTTTCATCGAAATAACTCTACAAGCAATCCCGTCGTTATCTTCATTATACTTTTCCTCGCTCTTCTGGTTTTTGAGTTGACAGGAACCATTTTTTTCCCCATTACGGCATATCTTTACTGAGTAATAACTCTCGGAAAGAGCCATATTTCCATGTTATTGATTTGTCGATACTTATGTAATTCTTAAAATGCAACTAAGGGCAATATAATAGTCAGTTTTGTAATAAAGGGACATAAACCGTTTCCCCCCCCTTTTTCTACATTTGTATTTAACAGATTTATTTATGGAGTAGCATTAGGAAAGTAATGCGTATTTCCAAACTGCAAAAAAGGGGAAAAATAATAATAAAAACTTTTAAGTAAGTGTTACTTTTTTTATAAACGTCGTTGACTGGCGAAATTTTGAGTTTACGACTACCAATGTTCAATTTCGTGGCCTTGAAATTTTGAACCCAATCCTGAAGACGGGAACTCCTGGATCAAGTATTGGGAGAATTTTGCCATTGTGGAGGATTATCTGATGGAACTAACCCGCATTTGCGTTGTATGGAAGAAAAACCTCCCGCGGTAAGCCTGATGTCAAAGGAACTCTAACTCCTGATCCGCTACCACTGAGGATATTTTACTTCAGCATTGTAGTCGGTGCAAGTTGGGTGCGGAATTTGTATCAACCAGCCATCGTTGGCATTCGAGCCCGGGCACCTCATTCAGAGGCGAACGCTTCATCTCCTGAGCCTCCAGGACTCAAAATGTCTTGGCGTGCCAGGAGTTGGTCATTTGTTCAGATATCTATCTTAATAAATTATCATGATGGAAAGTCGCAAACAAGATTTTCAAGGAGTTTAGGCTAATATAGGAATTAAAATTGGAATAAAATAAACATTTGTTTAATATTTTAATAGATATTATTTAACAATAAAGTTACAAGAACCAATTTTTTACTCTAAAGTTATCGATAAATCCTAAGCAAAATACTATATACTGTAATATAGCATGTTTTATCATTCAAATTTACAAGTTTTATTTTTTTTTTTTAAAAATAATAGTCTGTAACTGCAAATACACTTTTCTGACTTAAATAATTTTTTCCTGATTTTCAGTTCAGAATATAAAAATGCTTTGAAGTTGTTTTGTTTTCCCAATTTATCATTTTTTTTTAATAAATTGTATGTTATTAACGAATGATTTGAAAATTAAAATTCAATAATTTGTGAACAAAAACTTACAATTAAAAATTCCCGGGTTTATTTCATAAATTATGACTAATTTTATGATAGGGAATGTAAAAATGGAATCTATTATAAGCATCTATTGAGAAATATTTAATCATATATCTAAGAATAGTTTTGAGAATTCATTATCAACTGTGTTTGGTTATGAAAATAAGCATGATAGTTTTTTTTTATTGTGAATACAATATGATTTCTTGTATAATACAATTGAAATTTGTTACAATATTTTAGGAGTTCTTTACATAACTATAAGATTAAATTCTACTATACTCCTTTATGTAAAACATTAAAAGAATTTAGAGGTGTTTAAATTTTTTTTAAAAATTCTTTTAATTTATTTTTCTTTTCAATTTTTGCTTTTTTTACTTTCATTTATTTAAAAATGATTTCTTAAATGGGTTGGAAATGAATACTTTTCTTCATACTAGATTGTAATAGTGGATTGCTTATTTTTTTTCCTTCAAATTTCATTTTAGAAAAGAGATTCTTCTACTGCGTTTGGAAGGGAACTTATTTCTTCCTGGGACTGTTTTTTCCATGGTGGCAAATAGTTGTTATCCCCGATATATTATATAAAGCAATTTCGTATATTCGAAAGGTGGGAACAATAATAACTACTAATTTTGCATTCTATAATTATGAACTACTTTTGTAATATATTTTTCTATTTAAATAAATGTAACTTTCTCACTGAACTTGAGGGCGTCAGATTACGGGGAAAACTTTTGGCATTGCATGATTTGGACTGCCTATTTCAAGTGTAAGAAAATAGAATGTTGTAACAAAACACTAGAAAATGCTTACATACTTGAAACATTATTTTAAAGATGGATAAATAAGTTTAAAGTACTTCTTCTTTCGAGGCACTTCAGTTTGTACATGCCAGGGCCGTCCCAAGTAGTCTACCACCAAGTCAAGCCATCTTATTGGTTGTCTTTTTATATTTCTCGTAGGATTAGTAAAAGTAAGCTGTTTTACTGGGTTTGTATTTTCAGATCGGAATAGATGTTCCAGACATTTAGTCTATTGCACTTTATGACTTTAAAAATATTAGGTTGCTTGTACTTTTGGTAAATTTCTGAATTAAACTATATGATCTCCAGCTATTATTCTGATGGACTGCACCAAATATTTTTCTTAAGATTTTTAGTTCAAAGGTTTATTTTCATATAATTTGGTTATTGTCCAGCATTACTGTCCATAAAGTAGAAAAAGTCGATTTAGTGTTTTATAGATGTTAAGTTTTATTTTTAAACTTAAAAATTGAGATTTCAGTTAGATTTTGAAGCCATGATGGAGCATCTACTTGAAAGGACGAGCTTGTTGTTTATCTCGACAGTCAAATCATTGTTAGTAGTAATGATGTTTCCAGAATACCTGAACTGCGAATTTCTTTCAAAGGTCCAACTTTTCACAGTAAATGGCTGTGGATCGTGTATAAATCTCCTCGAATATTGTTTCATTTTTAAGCCTAATTTACCATCCTCAGCTTCTATTAAATTGAATGCCTCTGTGAGAAATTTTCTGGATCTACCAACTGAGGCAATGTCAAGGTTTGTGAAGTCTCTTGCTAGACGGTTCTTTTAGCTGTGACACGCTCTGGCTGCTTTTTCTACAGCCAAGTTGATCAGTAGACACAACAGATCATCAGCCTGTCGCAATCCTCTGTCCGTATAGAAGTTTTCAGAAAAGTCCAAGCTTTACTGCTACTTAAAGGCCGAGAAAGTCTGGTTGGCGGGGACTCACGTTTACGGAAATTCGAATCCAGAAGGCCGATAACTTCCCGTGTAGTAAATGGTTACTGGTGCACGTAAATCTGTCGGGTCACAAAATCATCCATGTTCCCATAACTATTCAATACCTCTGGATGTACTGAAGTGGAAATTGATCGTTCAGGTCAAAATTACGATCTGTGGAAGAATGAATAGATGTATGAATGGGTCCGCCCTATAGACGGGTGTGATGTATGAGTGTGGCAGAAGTCGAATTCTTGGCCATAGATGGCGCCAATGGAAAACAAGAACAATCTCATCCCCTATGCCTTAATGGCAGACGACAACGGCAAGAACCCTTACTTAAATGTATTTTCTGTTAAAGTAGCAGCTCCACTCCGTACGTTACTTTTTTTAGAAATGCATCATAACCCTAAATTGCTTTTTCTAAAACTCTTTCACTCAGTAAAATATAGCTTATTTATTGCTGCCATTTTTTAAGGATATTATAAAATAACCGTCCCATCGAAACTTTATGCACATATTTTATTTTAATCATTTCATGCACACAAATATCGACTCTGACCCTTAGTATGTTGATAACATTTTTAATTTAAATTAAATAGATTATAAATAATTTAACTTGCGGTCTTGAGATAATGTTTTAGAGTACCTTTTCTGTGCACAATAGTATTACTGGATAAATTCGAGTTTAAATGTTATCACTCGTATTTCTATCTATGACATGAAATGCTAACTTACACTTCATTTAAGTTAAAAAATACGTGACCTTCGTTTTTTTTAAAAAAAAAATTCTGCATGTCATTAAATTTCGTGGGCACGTTTGAGATCATTCAGAAGAGGGTGTTTTAGTCTGCGTAAACTATGTTATATTTTTGCTGTTTGAATTAATTTATAATAATTTTAAGATCATAAAAATTGAATGAATGTCAAGTTGAAAAAAAATTAATATTTTCGACATCTTTCTACCTTTAATCAAGGTTCTGAAGCAGCAAAAGCTGCTCGCGACATTTATGCCCTGTATTAAAGAGGGTGCCATAGCTGAAAGAACTGCTCATAATTGATACGCCAAGTTTATAATAAAAATTTTGACCTTGAAGACTGACCTCATTATGACCCTCCAGTTCCAATTGTAAACCAACTTTTGCACAAAAATTTGCTTCAAAAATAAATTAACTGCAGAGAAAAGGGAATCTTCCCACACTTTAAACTTTTAAAAATAGCAGAAACATGAGATGAAATGATAACTTACACTTTTTATCAACCATATGAAAAACTTCGATTGCCAAATTCTGGAGAAAGTCGGGCAATTCTTCGAAATGGCGTGTTCTACTTGTTAAGTCATACAGGAAATTAACCAAATCTTGAAAGTGAACTTTTCCATCCTGGGAAAAAGAGTTAATAAAATAATACGATATTTATAATACGAAGCGTTTGTTTTCAACGCCAATGTTATCTATTTATTAAAGTTTAATAGGAAACATAAAAGGGAAAAAAAATCTAGCTACTTTCAAGTTTCAGAAAGTATTTAATTTGTTGACTATTATATATATAGATACCTTATTTCCTCCTAAATCATTACAAAGGCTCTCCCACATTTGTTTGCTGTGAGTCAAATATTTCCGATGAATATCCTCATTGTATTCACCACTGTTTTGCTGGAATGTTGTTCTCTATAGTTAAGAATAAAATGATAGTAAAATTAACAATATTTTTTTTAATAAATGAGCATAACACAACGCATATATTTTAATGGATATCATAACACAATAAATTGGATAACACAATACAATTTAATAGCTCTTTTATATACAGTAAAACCTATTTAAGTAGACCAAATGTGTACATTTCCTCAATAGTCAATTTAGATAAGTGAAAGTGATCAAGTTATAGGTGGTTGAATCATTATTATTTATCATTTCTTATTACTACCTTATTCTTATATATATCTTGCTATTCATGCTCTTTATATATTTCTTATATGCTACCAACTGAAAAGATGAATGTAATTAAATTTTTTTACACGAATTTAAAATTTTATTTAGTAAATGCCCCATTTAACTTAAGAAATAAGATTCATTACAAAATGTTATGATATTAATTACATTTTATTATACAAATTTAATATATAACTGCTTAATTTAATTTAAAAAAACAAACTAACAAATATGCTTATTTTGCATAGCTGTTGTTTATTATAAACACATATGCAATTTTAACAGTCTAATCATTTCAACATTATGCAATATGTTCTTATTAACTTATTTGTTATAAAAGCTCTCTATAATTTTCCATATAGTTACATCATTACGACTAGCTTACCCCCAAATTCATCTCCCCCGACATCTGGAGTCCCTCAAAAGTTCTGGGAATTGTTGAAGGGGCTGCGGGCCTTCATGGCAAAGAGAGAGGGTGTGTATGGAGAGACTTTACAACTTTGTGCCGTCTTTAAAACTATTTATAAGAATCTTTCTTTTGACAAACTGATTGTTATTTCGGTGAAGATATAAATGCCTTCATGTTTTTCTACGATTCACGAATGGATGTAGATAGGTAAGTCGCAACAACGAGCTGGAAAACATTCCTGAGGATGGCCCGAAAATATTCCATCACAATTTTAATCCTCTGCAGAGGAAATGGCACCCCCTCTTTGGTAGCCCAACGACTTGCGCGAAATCGAGCACTTAACGGTAGAACAGTTTGACGAGGACCGATACCGCGCACCAACGGTCCCTACACTGGCTGATCAAAGTAGTCAGTGATGCTTGACTTCAGTTGTTCTACTGGGAACCGTGTCTTTAGGATCAGCCCACTGCTGTCTCACGAACGGATGAATTAACAGTTATAGTGAGAAACTTTTAATCAGGAACTTATAATAAATAATTGGATTATATAAGAGTGATGTAAATAAGTTTTGCAATTAACACGCCTATCTTGACAGTAACGCTCCTACATCGATGGATGGTCTACATTGAACAGTTGACTTGCTTCTTGTGACTACGACATTGTCCTCCTTGCGCGGTTGCTACTCAACCACGATCACGCACAACGTCNTCAGCACTCAAAAAGTACGGCGATCTTAATACAGCTCTCCCGGCTTCTCACAAAACAGCAATGAATCACTTAGTGGTATCCATTCATCGAATTCTATCACAGATATAATTCTGGTGGGGGGAGAACTGTAGTGTATCTACCACTACAAAACTCCAATTCACAAGTATATAAAACATGTTAACTTGTTTCTAAGGTGGGGTACCTCTTCATAGATGAAGGTTAACATTGTCGATATCTACTCTCCCCGCACAAATGGTCATCACGAATTTATTTAGATTCATCAATTTATTTCATTAAAAAAAAACTTGTGAAAGAAGTTTTGAAAACGGAAATTAATTCCATGTCCTTTTCCTAACACGCATTTTGAGCTGTGTCCATTTTCGCAAACACGCTTTTCAAACTGCGTCCATTTTCGCAAACACGCCGTTCGAACTGTTTCCATTTTCGTAAAAACGCATTTTGAGTAGTGTCCAGATTAAAAAACTCGCTGACGATATGATTAGGTCAAATTGACAGATTTCACTGGGATGAAAAATAGCACCAAAAATATCTGAAAAAGTTCAATCATTTTTCAATCTGACCCTGCTTCCCACGTGCTATCACAAACCCCCTCCCTTATTTTTGCTTTAAATTTAACTTCTATTGTAGTAATCTAATTTTAAGATTAAATTCAAAAAGGTGTAATTCTGTGTGAAGCAAAATTTACGTTTCAAATCCTTTTATAAAACTTTGGTAGCCCAACTCTTCGACCAAACTCAAAACTCTTCGAAGACATTTTTTTTCCAAATTTTTCTTTCCCCGAATTCAACTCTTATTTCAAATAAATTTTCTTTTTTATAAATTTTTTTATTTGCATTTTAAAAAAATTTTGAAAATTAGATTTTTATTGTCCTGCGTAAACATTGCTGTTACTCATCTCTTGTGAGCAAAAATAAGAAAATTACAAAAACTCCGCCCCGCTAGGTAATTATGTAATATATGAACGACCACCAAGTGCTGCACATTTCATTTATTTTATTTTTTCTCTAGGACAACCAATCCATATTGAATTCGCGGCTCTATCAATATTCAACTTCGTATTCTGGCATTTTTGAACTTAACACGGATGACAAGGCAACTCTTGGAGCAAGCATTGAGACAAACTCGCCTTCGTGAATGACATATTAATATATTTAAACTGCCTTTGCGTCACATGGAAAGGAAACCATGAAAACCTCCCATTATTAACCCTATTGCTAGGGGACTTTACGCCATGATTCGTGTATCAATAGGGATATTTTTCGTTGGCACTGTGGTCGGTGCATGCTGGATCATTATGCGAATCAACCAGTTATTGTTGGGATTTGAAATAATAAGGAATAAGCATCATAAGGATCCAAATATAAATAGTTATATTATTAATATATTTTGTTAAACTGAAAACCAGCTTATCTTTAAAATGAATCTTAATAATGAAACATTTGTGCTACCAAAAGGTGAAAGAAAAAAAAAAGAACAGCCTTTTTAACCGCATCCTTTACCAATATTTTCGACGAAAAAAAGGAATGCAAAAAATCAACATATATTTTTAATTCATTAATAAATACAAGGAACTAAAACAAAACATAATACACAAGTTTCAAGTTGAAATTTTAATTTTTTTAAGAGTAAGAAACATTTAATTTACCATCAGTTTACTATCCCAAGTTATCCCGGGCAAATGAAAAAAGTTAAATATTAGTCTTTGTGTGATAGATTTTAAAAGAAGGGAGGGACAACACAAAGTGACACTTTCCAAACGCCAGTAAAGTGACACTCCGTTTTTTTTTCTGTAACTCTTTTTTTTTTTAACTCTTTTTTTTTTTCTATGTCAATTTAGCAACCATCCTATACTATCCACTGTGGGCCAGAAGACCATGATCCTTGGCCAAAAGTCAAAAATTAAATTTTCAACTAAAATATGTGTAGGCAGTTTTAATATAGCCCAAATTAAGTATTCATAATCATTCCAAACATAATAGTTTTCATTTTGGACCGACGAGAGTGCAATGTAATGAGAAATATGTTTAAAAAATTTTTTTAAATGTAACTTTTAAATTTTTATTTCTGAAATAGGAATTTCACCTTACTGTTACATTTTTATCAGAGTAATTAGTCTGAAATTATAGTACAATTTTTCAATTTGTTGGATTAGTTAATACTCTTGACAAACTTATAGTTTATATCGTATCATTTGACATTTTACAATGTTTGAATGACTTTCGAAACTTTGTTCCAAAAAGTCGAGGTAATTGGCTAAACTTTTTTTTGTTGTCTTCTTTGATGTTTCTTCTTTCGAAAAAACCTGCCCCATTTTGCCCGTATTGCAAAGGTGGACTAAATATACCGAAAAACAAAAATTATGTTTTTTTTCTTCATGTTTTCGCGTTATTTTGTAATATTATTTCGGAAATATAATTTGCTTTTCATTTTTAGTATTAAATTACGAAAATTATTATATTTTCATAGCTATATTTAATTATTTAAACGCACTATATTATCATTTTTATTTTTGCTCGCCATATTTCAGACGCCATCTTGTTTTTTTTGGTATTTTTAGTGTATTTCAAAATTTCTGCTATGAATTCAATTTACCTGCACATAAAAACCCCTAAATAAATTCCTCCAAATTTTGAAACAAATTGCATGGAAATATTCATTTTGGCCACGAAACCTTGGATGCTGGCCCACTGCGCAATCGCACAAAACACGTGTGCTGTCCCACAATTCAACAGCAAAACTCCCAAACAAAACTTGGTTAACTTCCCATCACAGAAGATTATTATTTATTTAATATTATTGGCTTCAGGCCGAGTAAAAACGTGATAAAAACAAAACGTATTGACAAATTCTGCTACCCCCCGAGTTTTCTCGTGATAATAAATATTTGCAATTTATGCATACCCGAATTAACTCGGGATAATCAGGGAAGCGCTTAAAAGAACGCTAGGCACGAATGAGTAGGAAAGAGGTAGATAGCAAAATATTTTTGATCATACCTTGTTTTGGATATAAATTTTTTTCATTGTGTTGATGCATATTTTTTAATTGGAAAACTGTACAGATATCTATTTTTTAATAGATTATTTAAAAGTAATATTTTTAATACATAACTTATATACAACAAAAAATCATTTTAGGAAGAAAAAATTTAATTCCTAACAACAAAATACACCTGCAACCGCTTTTATTCGTTTTTGAAAAGGAAACATTATCCCTTTAAAAAGATGCAAATAACTTAAATACTTAATAAATAATTCCTCGACAATTAAATCATTGTAAACATTAGGCATTTAACTTATATTAATCATGTTTTTTTTTAAAAATTTGAAATTGAAAAATTAAAAAAAAATTTAAGAAATACATTACCTTGCTCATAACGAATTTTCTTTGAAATGTTTACTATAAAGCATAGAAATATAACTACATACCTGAAATTCCAGTTAAATAGGATATTGTGTTATCGCGGTGATTACTTTACTCTGTTCTAAACACTTACCATTGAGAACCACTTTATAAAAAATCAATAATTGCTTTCAATGTTTCAACTTAATTTTGAGATAAAAATTATGTAGGGAATTGCAAAACTAAACGTTAAAAATGTATCGCTAAGTACGAACGCATTTGAACTGGTATTACTTAAAATTATCCAAAACTAAGGCGTCAACGGCACCCTCTCTTTCAATCTCAGTTTCTTTCATATCACTTTGATCACGATTTTCATTTATGTCTTGTTTAATGCCTCAATTTTTATTCCTTTAAATATTTTACATTTTGCACGCTAATGTATAACTAATAAAACATTTTTTCAACTTATAATAATTGTAGCGAATTCTCCTTATGACTGTTAAACAAAATTTTGTTATATAAGTTATAACGATCCTATTACATAAAAGTATAAATTTTCTTTAATGTAAGTGTCTTAATAACTTATCGTAAGTGTCTTTATAACTTTATTGACTGTTGAAGAAAAAAAAAATGATTATTCAAAATATATAAAAAAATCTTATTACCAGAGCCATTAATCTATAGTCGTCCCATGAAATGTATCCATTTTTATCAGCATCTGAAACAAAAAATTTATTTAATTTAAGAAACTTACACTTTCATATATTACCAACTCATATGATTAGGGAAAAATATTTTTTTATTTTATTATAAAAACGTTAATTATATGTTTGATAGAAATAAGTAGTAATAAAATGTATTCTTCAGCTAGTCAATATGTAAACACACAACTTATCTTTCAAACTCTATTTATTTATCGCATTAATAAGAAATTATACTGTGCTTGAAACAGATTTTTAACGTTCATCAAGAACATTGTCAAAATCTGACGAATCAATATAGAGAAAGTTGGGATTATAAACATTAAAATCAGTGTGATTGGTGGATTTTTAATTCGTCTTCTTCGTTCATGATCAATCAGGTTTTAATAACGTTTATCTTTTTTCTAGTTTTAAATCTAAGTTTTTTATATATACCACTAACGTTGTATATCCATGCCCTTTGTTTTCTTATAAGGGTGCCATAAATATATACAGGATGTATCAAAATTCGACTGACAAATTCAGAGGGATGATAAAAGGGATTCAGAACGGAAAATAACGGCCCTTGAACACTTATTGAGCCAAGATTTGTGAATTAGCGATCCTTTTATGTCCTCCGTGTTCACCAGATCTCAATCTGCATGACTTTTTCTTCGTAGTTGGCTTTAAACCTGAAACTAAGCGGTTTATTGCAAACGATTTTAAATAATTCGATAACACCTACTCACAACATTGTTCGAATATACCATAATGCAAATTCTTTCTCAACTTGTTAGTTAGTTTTGGTTCTCTCTTTACTTATCGCATTCCCACAATGTCTAACAAAATGTCTGTCTCCCTTATAACATGAAATATTCTATTGAGAAGGGAGTCACCCTCGGTGTCTAGGAGATGACGCCAGAAATCGTTCATGTTTCGGAATCCTCCTTTGATGGCCGCTAATATTGGAATTCTTCTTTTTGAGATGTTGTCTTTAGTTAATGTAATTGAATAAAAGTAATTTTATGCGAACTTCTTGCGATCCACCTAAACGTATGTCACATGCCAATTAGGGACACGCGTGTCATGTGTTCGGTCTGTACGACACCTGAGGGCAAACTGGAGGCTAGCGCGAATTCACTTCGGAAGGCAGCAAAAGTGCTTGCCATCTTCACGCACCCCCAGTAATCGTTTTTACGTCGTTGTAGACTGTGAAATGACGAAAACGGGCACCAATTCTAGCAATTCTTGTCATAATTAATTAAATAAATTTTTAGCAGGGTAGTAAGTTTGCTATTACTTTTGTAGTTGTCTTCCAGCGTGACATCGAAAACTTGCACTGGATCGTAACGTGGTTTGTGACCCCATGTTATGTTTTGCCCCTCCTTAGAAATCTTTTATCTCCCCTATGATTTTGTCTTTCGAATTTTGGAACACTCTGTATTAGCAGCATTAGGGGAGGTTTATATACAGAATATCTCATCTCGTATTAAGCATTAATATTCCTATAATGTACTACATTTTTTTTTAATTATGTCTTTTTACGTAAAAAAAAATCCCAGGTTCAAAGTGAAGGAGTTTTTTTTCTTCTTTTTTTTTTTGTCTGCAAACCAAAATTTTTATTTGTAACTTTGAAAACTGTGATGGAAAGTAAAACATCAGTTCTTTAAAATTGGAATCTAATTTCATATTATTCAAACAATAGTGTTATTATATTTGTCGAATATTTACAGAAATTGCAATGGGAGTATATTTTAAACGTAATCAACCTAATTATATATGTATATAACACTAAGAGGCAAAAAGGAATAAAAGAAAAGCGATAATAACAAAGAAAATTATGAAAAATAATACATTTTATTTGCTGCACAAAAGTTGCAAATACACAGAACCCATAAACAAGGAAAGCAGAACATAAAGAAAAAAAATTTTTTTTAAAGAGACGAAGAAACATTCCTAATATAAAAAATGTTCTTTAAAAATGAAAAAAAAAAATATTTTTTTAAAAAAGCCAGGAAACAAAATAAGGAAATGATGTAATCTCGTCTTCAGCTCACACGATTATATCCCCAAAAAAGAGTGCTTTCTAATACTGTATAAATATAATCCAAGGAGGCAAACAAATCAAATGCGGCTCTGTATTTCAGTAAGAACGCTTCATAAAATGCTTCCCACTATCTTCCATTTTCGTTTTTATTTTCGTATTTTGTAATCTAGAAATTTTTTACATGAATACTTAAAATTATTTAATCATTTTTGCAAGATACCAGTAAGTGAAAAAACATTTGGATTCGCTACTCACTTTATATGTTACAGTTCGTGTTCTTAAAGTTTTATTTTCAATTTTTTGCTGAATATGTTTTATTTTCCATTTTCTGCTTAATGTGTTTTATTTTATTTTCAATTTTTTTGGAATCCTTCACACAATTGTATTGATATATTTTGCTTTGGCTATACCAATACAATATTAGAAAGCACTCTCTTTTGCAGATATAATCGCGTGAGCTGAAAACGGGATCCATATTTTCCTGTCCGGCATTTGAAAAAAAATGTTCAATTTTTTTAAATTTTCAAATATTTTTAAAAAAAAACTTTTTATTTATTAATATTTTGTCTTCTTCCCTTAAAAAAAAAGAGTATTTTCTCCTTGCTTTCTTTGTATTTCTACTTTATTTTTATTTGTATTGATTACTGAAGGCTGTATTATTTAATTCACAATAAATAGTTTGATAAATAGAAGAAAGCATTTTTCTTAACATGCTTTAACCTCTTGCGACTCAAGCTTTAAATTATAACTTAAAATACGTCTTAAAAATATGTAGCTTAGAAGAAAGTTAACTTTTTAGTGCAATATGTTTTAATTATTAAATCATCTTAGTTAATTAACTTTTTTTAATTACTTTTGAATTATTTCATAAAAATGATACATTTTAATTTTTATTGGTCACAAAACAAAACCTACTAGACTAAATAATTAGATTTTATGTAGACTAGAATCATTGCAATTAAAAAGTTCGACAAACTAACCCAATCATAATTTATAATTATTATAATAATTGTAAATGTAATTTGAAAAGACAATCGCTTGTTAAAAGCATACAAAGAAACACATTTAAAATATTATTTTTTGAGTGATATAATTTTAGTTTATTTTATAACCGTCGTTGAAGAACCGACCCAAATTTGAATTTACGGCTACCAATGTTCAACTCCCTAGTCTTATACTTTTGAACCTAATCAAAGACAAGGGAACTCCTGGATCAAGTATCGAGAGAAATTTTTCTTCCTGGAGAACTTTTTGATGAAACTCACTCTCACTTGCGTTACATGGAGAGGAAAACCACGAAAACTCCCATGGTAAGTCTGACAGCAAAGGAACTCTAAACCCATGATTCGTCTACTACTGAGGATATTTTTACATCACTGGAGTTGGTAAAAGCCGGGTGCGGAATTCGTATTGACCAGCCATCGCTGGGATTCGAACCCGGTTCACGCCATTGGGAGGCGAGCACTATATCCCCTGAACTGCCACCGCTCTGTGTGATTTAATTGTACTGAATGTTGTCCAATATACTGGTGTTAAGAGGATGCATATAGGTTATGGTTTATGTAATTAATTGGTTAATATTAATTATCGCAGGTTACTATTAATTATAAACAAGTAAATCAGTTGAAGTGAATTATCTATCATAATTTATTATATTTACCTGTTATTATTAATAATTATCAATGAAGTTTGGTTAATTTAATAATTTATACAAAAATGCCTTGCAATTTTGATTTTTATTAAATACACGAAATTTCTTAATACAAAAAATATGTTAAAGAATATTATAGTTTTGTGTTCATCTAAAAAATATGAATGTTAAATTTTATATTATGTTAAGCTTTGTTAGAATATATTTTACTCAAATAAATGTATTAAAATCAGTCTAAGAGCTGTTTCGAATTTTATACAATTTATTAAATCTGTATTTATGGAACGATATTTAAATTTATAAGCTTTATTTAAATTTATGAATTTATGAACGATATATGAATTTATGAACTTTATTTAAATTTATGAATGATGTATAAATTTATGAAAATTATCATGAATTGGTACAGTGCAAATCTTGATTTGAAATTTATTATTTTGAACTAAAGCATAAGTAAAAATCCGTATTTCATGTATATTCTTAACTCTACTAATTTCGACAACTGCAGATTTATCATCGCATCAAATAAATATATAAATTTTACGTTAAAGTTTCAATTAATTATACCTAATAGATTACACTGACTAACGTCTGTGGAAATAATTAATAATTACCGGAGATTAATGCGTGTAATTTGTCGCATTTACCAAAAAGAGCGAGATTATTGTTTATAATAGCTGTTATTATTAATCATAACCATACTTATTATTTTAATCAAAACATAAAAGAAATCGACACATACCTAGTTTCTCACTGAAGAAAACCACGAGTCTTTTCTTGTAGTCCTCTTTGGTCATTTTTTACTTCTTTTAAAACTATTGGAAAATGGCTAGTTTATTAACTGAAGCAGCTCAGTCATGAGAATCTGTTAAAAGTCAGGTGCTTTTATTGGCAAGTGACTAGCGATTAGCATATTCAACGTCACAAAAGATTCGAATTACTTTCATGTTTAAAAGTCTTTTTTTCTTCTTATCTATATGATATTTCCTTTTTTCTTTACAGGAAGGAAGCTCTACAAAATATAATTCTTCAGAATCTTAAACACATTGAATTCTAACATCTTTTTAAATTTATGGTATAATTAAACAAAGTAGTAATTATATACAAAGCACATATACAAAGCACTTAAAAGTAACTAGAGCTTTTAGGGCAAAAAATTCACTCTTTAATGTGACACTGATTTCAGTGAATGACTTATTGGTTAAGTTTTTTTCTTTATAAAGGCTTTTATTTTTCACTTAAGAGTAAAATCAACTTTCAAAGATTAATATCTTTTTTTTTTACTTTGATAATTTTTTTTATTTCATTCATTTATTACTATTTATTTATTTATAGAAGTAAAATATTAATGGACTTCAGATTATCTTGATAAGGTGAAAAAAATCGTCGCTAGATTTTGCGGTGGTTTTTTAAATTTTCTTTTGTCCGTTTATCTAGAAAAATCAAATACTTTTTGACCAGGTTTCGTCTACGTTATTGAAATAAATAAAAAAAAAATTCAGAATTTCATTCCTAAAAAGAAAAATTTAATATTTTCTTCTTCACCTTTTTATACCTATCATTTTATTACGAAATTTTTTAATTATGTGCAAAAGTTTATCGATTTGTATAAAAAGTTCTTGTGGCTCCTTAAGGTTAAGGGCATAAAGAAATGTACTGACATTAATATTTAAATATTTTGCTGAGAATTTACAGAATCAAGTAGGATACTTTTGAACGAAACATCTGTATACATTTGAACGGTAGCATAATTTACTGTACGAATCCTCAGCATCTTCATAAATCCAAATTTATCTGCAACCTCAACGCTGATTATTATTGTGCAAAATTTAGCTTAAACTTACAGCAAAATTTGCAAAGATAAGGTCCTTAAAAATTAGAGATAAAATTAGCGTTGTTGTTCTGGGGGAGGATTGCTTTAAGGTTAATGAAATAAGGAAATTTACTGATATAAGTATTAAAATATTTAGCTGTAAATTTACAGAATCGGGTTAGATACTTTTTAATGAAAAGTCTGTATACATCTGAACCGGTAGTAGAATTTACGATGCGAATCTTCAGCACTCTCTGCATAAATCCAAATTTATCTGCAACCTCAACGCAGTCAGACATTGATTATTATTGTGCAAAATCTAGCTTAAAGTAACATACTTAAAGCAAAATTTGCAAAGATAAGGTCCTTAAGAATTATAGATAAAATTATTGTTGTTTAAATTTAAGTTGAATTTATACAATGATACTGAAAAACTGGAATAAATCCCTATGCCAGTGTTTCCCAAACTTATGTTTTTTGTGTACCCTTTCTAAATTTTTCGTAACGCTGTGTCCCACTAATAAAAAAATGAATGTATTTTTTACTATAAAAAATTGCACTAAAGTTAAAAATCACACCTGGCTGCTGATACAACTACTAATTATTAACTGTTAACTCTGCGAAAAATAGACAATAGAAAAATACGTAATCGTAAATTTTCAAGGCAAGCTTCCTTTTTAAATAAAATTTTTTGAAATTTTCGTTTGTTGCAGGATATTTCGCATAAGAACACGCAACCCTCGCTAACCTGTTCCCGTACCCCTGGGGTAGGTGTACTACACTGCTCTATGCAGTTATGTCTAATCAAGTTGCAGGAAAAAAAAATCAGTAATTTTTGTTCTCTAAGGTGCTTTTATAAATCCGCTTTTCAATTCTTATTAAAGCAAGTTTAGAAAGGTTTTAAAAAGTAATCTCAGAGATTTTCCGTCATTTGTTTGTTCACTTTTTAGCACAAAAAAAAAGAAAGAAAACTTACATATTAAAAAATCTGCAGATTCCACAGAGTCTAAAATAATCTGTGGCACCCACTGCGTGTTAGAGAGTTTCTGCTACCGGGCATGTAAATGACCCAATGTGCATAAATTTTAACAATTCTGAATTGTTTTGCAATATTTCGTCAATGAGCTGGGATGGCTCAGGGGATAGAGCGTTCGCCTTCCAATGAGATGAACCACGGGCATGACCGGCGATGGCTGGTCGATACGAATTCGGCATCCGGCTTGCTTCGACCACGGTGCTTTCGTGAAATACTCTCAGTGGTACACGAATCATAAGTTTAGAGTCCCCTTGCTGTCAGGCTAACCGTGGGAGGATTTCGAGGTTTTCCTCTCCACGTAACGCAAATGTCGGTTAGTTCCATCAAGAAGTCTGCCGCGAAGGAAATTTCTCCCAATACTTGATCCAGGTATTCCCTTGTCCTTAGGATTGGGCTCAAAGTTACAAGGCTACTGAGTTGAACATTTGTAGTCGTAAATTCAAAAATTGGGTCGACTGTTCAACAACGGTTTTAAAATAAAATATTTCGCCAATGTTTTGTATTTTCACTTGTTAAAATATGTAGAAAAACAGAATGTTATACACAATTATTCATTTTTTTTAATCATTATTAAATAAAATAATTTCAAAACATAAAAAGTTGAGATTTCTAACCGTTATTGCTCCTCTAAAATTGCCAAGGGTGTGATATTTTATTTTTATTTTTTTCGCTATATAGAACTTAAAATAAAAGTACATTATGTAAGTGTTTGTACCACATTTTTATAAAGAAATTAAAAACTGCCGATTTTGATTTATTTTCAAAATTATGACTAAAATTTACTTCACTCTATAAATATTTATTAAGATTATTGTTATTGGAGAAGGGCATCAAAAATATTTTTGCTAACACGTGATAATCGGCTGGAACCGGCCCTTTGCATGTCATTAAAGTATAATAAGTTTTTATCATTGTTAACAGATGAAATGAAACAGTCCTTTCATATTCCTATCTTAAAGGATTATACCCCATGGAACTTCGCCCTATGGCTATGCCACTATTTAAAACGAAACTATCACAAATAAACCAATAGTTTTCGTAAAGAAAATTATAAATAAATTACTTATAGAGCTTATTTAAATACATTTTTGAAATATATTTGAGTCATTTGGTTAAGAAACCAGCTCATATATTTTAAAAAATTTTTAGCTTTTACTGAATTTTGTTTTACTTTTTTAAAAGATTTAAACAGAAATAAATAAACCACAAAAAGAACCCAGTTCCCGTGATTGTTTCGTATTCATTCCTTAAAATATCGATATTATTTATCAAGCAAAGTTAGTTAGAATAAAGAGTATATTATAATAAAAATTTACTTATAACAATGGAACTCGTGAATTGACATATTTAGTCGACTAAGAAATAATTATTTTTTCTTGGAAATCTCTGAGAGAAAATAAAAAACTTAGTCTTGAAAGTTTTTCTGCGTCAAGTTTCAAGAGAAATATAATATTCTGGAATATCTACATGAATAAAACATGGTTGATAATTAATTATTTCTTAATATTATATTGCCTACTTTGAAATTCATATATTTTTCACAGTTGTCTTAGAATTACAAAAGGAAAAAAGTAATGTGATACTTCATTCAAAGACTGAAATGTTTCTGATCGATTCAGTGGTTTTCCTATTCGGTTTTTTTCCACAGTGAATAATTTTTATAATGCTAACCAGGTCCATGGGTGCCAATCTAAAAAAATTTCAAGACTGAACTTATTTTGACCACTCTAGATTGTTTACAAGAATTTTCAAAAATTTATAGCTCATTGACTCTAAAATGTACCCTTCCATAATAATGATTAAATCAATGATTAATTTTTTCCTTCATTTTGTTAATTTATTTTTTCAAACAAAGGAGATAAAAATATTAGTTAACCTTGTGATCTTTTTGTACCAATAACCGGATAATAAACCATCACTAATTTTTTCATGAAGCTATTTATATGTTTACTTTTTTTGCTTCATCGTTATTTATTTCTTGTCCTATCGCCATATTTTTTTAAATAATTTTAACTTTGGTCACAGCATTTTCAAATGTTCGGGGGAAATGAAAACTCCAGCAAATTTAGGTACAACAATAGTAAAAATTTTGCTTAAGCAAGCAGGAGCTGAAGTTCAATCCCATTCTTTCATTGACATCATTACAAGATCACTTCACAATAATTATGAAAAATAACAATGTCTTCATTAAAATATAATATATAATAAATATAATTTGTAAAATATAATATATAATAAGTATAATTTGTAAAATATAATGCATAAAATATATAATATATAATTTCTAAAATATAATATATGATTTCTGAAATATAATAAATAAAAATATAATTTGTATAAAGTTTACTAGAAAAATAAATAGAAAATGTTTGTAAAAAAAATAAGATTTTTAAGGTAAAAATGCCATTTAAATTTAAAGATCAAATGAAAAAGAGATATTAATTGATGAAATTTAGTCTCATGATTTTTTCTCATGACTGATTTCAGTCCCCAGGACTGAAGAGTTGCACCCATGATAGATCTCGGAATTATATTGCCCGACATGCGAGTTAAAAGCAGGATTAAGGCAACCGCAATAATTTAAGGCCCCGCCTAAAGATCAGAATTTATAAAATAAAACTGATTTTTTTTTTTAATTTTTTCAAAACGTATAAAAATGCATTCTATATTTTCAGAGTAAATTTCGCCAGAAAGAAGCAGATTTTATCGTGTATAGTTCAAAGCTCGTCGATGATGAGTTAGATAACTTCTATCAAATCCCAATTCTCCAATTTTAACAATTATCACAGTGTGCTTAAAGTTACAGGAGTTTTGGATCTTTCCATATAACTCTCGATAACCGCGCATAAAGCGAAAAATTTTTTTTTTTGAGATTACAATGTTACAACAAACTTAGAAAAAAAATTGAGAATAAAATTTTTTTGCTTTGTCCGTTGAAATACCATTCTTTCAAAACAAATTTCATTTTTGATGGTCACTAGGAAGTATTGCTGCTTCATTGAAATTATTTATTTGGTTAGTTGTTTTAATCAATATATAT